AAGCTATGCTTAATTTGGCACTAGATCGCGTTGTGTGAAGTGTCATGGGTTAATATTGATGTTCATATGTATGCCTTTAACGATGATTAATGATGCCGTTAAGGTGTGAACTTAACAAATAAATAAACTCATGCATTCACGAAATTACTTTGTATTTTTGAAAGATAAACATATAAGTTTCTTTTAAAGCTTGTTAAAAAATGACTCGGAACAATTTTAAAAAGAAACTTATATATTTTTGAAGAAACATCACACTAAACTTAATGGAAAGCGGTAAATATTACCGGAAATCCTCTATAAATATTAATTATTATAATGCGGACAGTGAGTATACGTAAATACGCGATATTATGGACCGTCATCGAGTGCATAATAATCATCTTTCCTTGATCTCAGGTCTAATGTGTAGGTACATCCGTAACGTGTGTACTGTTTATAGTAATAGACTATTAATTATGTACTACGTTGCAACGTGCATTATTGTATCCACATGTTATTGCTGTGTGCCAAATTAGACGCCATTCGTCTACTAAGTCATAATTGACAATTATTATACTAGATTTTTCTTTCATCTCACCTACCCCGCTCCAATTGAAGTCCCGTCCAATTCAAACGGGGATCGAAATCGGTTCTAAATCTGAACCGAGGTTCGAACCCCTAGCGGTGCCCTCAGACTAAAGTCGTATCCGTCTGAGAATTGGCATTTAGCGGCTTTATAAGTCCTTTCGCGGGTGTGGATTGCCATCTGCGCTCGCTCCCTATCGTTTGGTGTAGCTGAAAAGGACAGCTATGGCCAACAGCATTAGAGTAGTCTAAAAAAGTGACAGTAGAACGTATTGTATCTAAAGCAGCACTAGCCATGATGGTTTTGTCACGGTACAAAAGAAGAGCAGATTTAGCTAGGGATTTACAGGCAGAGAAACTCTACAGCTAAAAGGTGAAAGTGACGAGTGGTCGAGCTTCAAAGCGTTCGTGGCCTGGGTCCCCCCAGGGACCCCTTAAACCTACACCCGGGTCCCAGTTACTGCTCGGAGTTCCTCTCTCTGCCACACGATGTACCCGGCAACCTCAAAGTAGACGAAGATTCCATAAAATGCTAAGAAGTTCGTCTCTTTTGTTCATAGAGATAGATTGTTGTCCCCGGAACGTCAATGTTGGGGTAAAAGGGCTCGCTTCGAGGTCTCAACCTGAACCCTCTTAGAAGGGTGGAGCTGATCAGTTCATTCATGTACCACTAAAATCCACATATGACTGCAAACGTGTTTATGCTATCAAATTTGTTGCATAGATTTTTGTTATTACTATAAATAACAGCTAATCCAAATTCTTTGTTAAACAAGATATTACATTCCAATCCTGAGTCATGAGACATGATAATTTATGATGCTCTAAATCATAAATATCAAAATATCTAACACGCTCGAATATTGATATATCTTATTAATATTATAAACGCGAAAGTTTGTGAGTATGGATGGATGTTTGTTACTCATTACTGCAAAAACTAATAAACGGATTTTGATGAAACTTTACAGTAATATAGATTATACATCAGAAATACATATAGGCTATAAATTTGCGGGTGACACCGCGGGGACCGCTAGTAAGTTCTAAAATAACGGTAAAAATTATGTGTATATTTAACATTGGTGAATCTAATCATAGAGAATAGTATTTAAATAGTTACACGGAGTCCCAACTTATCAGATGATTCAGCAGCCAGCTACTAGTATGATTCAGCATTATTACATGTTATGCTTACTAAAGCGATGGTGTTAAATCGTCAAGGTCTAGCTTTACTGCCAAATTTATTGTTTCCTGAAATTTCATCTCAAGGCGAGATATCAGGATCATAATAAGATTAATAAATCTTTAATAATTTATATACAGCTAGCTACCCGCCCCGGCTTTGGAAAGGTGTACATGAATTATACATATTAACCTTCCTCTTGAAGAACTCTATTTAGTTTATTAAATTAAAAACTGTATTAAAATCAGTTGCGTGGTTTAAAATTTCTAAGCGAGCAGACAGTGGAAGCGACTTTTTATTCTACTATGTAAATATTAGGATTTAGATTCAACTTTCAGTGCAATTTAATTATTTATACGTATAACTAGTAAAAATCACGGGATCTTACCACGTTTTATATTTAAATATCGGGAACTCAGCAAATAAATATAAAACGTGGTAAGATCCCATGATTTTTACTAATTATACGTATAAATAATGACCGCGTCAAGTTTAAAACAGTATAATTTAATTATTGTACATAATTGAATCGGATATTGGAAAAAAAATATTGAAATACATAAAGTATTTTTCAATATTTTATTATCCTCCTCTGAGTTCGTTCTATTCGTTCAAGCATGGTGATAATTTATATAAGGTTTTATTCATTTTAAAAATCTAGCCAAATATATACCATACAAAAGATTTCTTTTAAAAAGCTTTCGACTTGTATAGGACTGTATAATTTGGCCTTACTTAATGCCATAATTACTCTGGCTAAAGTAATTTTACACGATCAGTTACGAGGAGACTGACGATAGTAAATTTATCATCAATCGATGTGGATTTACTGCAAGAAATAAATTTATTTTATGAGCTTTGGCTCCTTCGCCGTGGACGCCCACAGTTTACTTTCGGCGTCAGAGATGATTATTAACACTAAATATTTCAACATTCCCTTTGATGTTTGATAGGGTTGGATAGATTTGTCATCATTAGACGCTCAAGGCTTCACGTACATGGCTATATAACCCCAATGTCTTATCATTATATTATTATTATGATTGGCATATCATCCTGGCACAAAGGTGGTAAGCAAGCGGTAATATCAACTGCATGTTATTACGATATATTATTATACAATCTAGTACAATGTAGTACATAAGTATTATATACTTTTAATGTTTTTGGAGTAATGTAAACTCGATAACGGTTTTATTGTGGTGCTTTTAGGAGAGGGCCGAGGTTGCGCCCCTTGTGACACCGCGGCATCTTAATCGTTAATTAATGTGCAATAATAATTAATTTATCTATCCAACGGTTGAAGACAAAGAATCTTTAGATATTTAGAGATAATCGGATGGTAGATTTAAATTTTGTTTTAAGACCGTTTGTATTGAAGTACCTTTTAGCAGTTTAGGAAATAGCAAATATCATGAAATTAAACATACACGTATTGCATTTGAGAATAAAGAACTAGATCTCGGTCAATCATAGTCAACGCAAATGAAGGCAAGAGCAGAGAAGTCAGCAACTTAGATAATTATAATCAACAAACTGCGCACTTTAGATATCGCATACTCTTAAAGTAACTGGTCAAATATGACTCGAGTTGATACATATCAATGAAGACAAAATAATCTGTGAAGTCGCGTATTATAACCATGTTTTGTTTATGCGGACCGTGATTGGAGCGACGTTTATCTGTTTATGTATACAGTCGCGTTCCGTTTTACGATTGTAGTAGTTTTATAGCCGCCGACTATAAAACAGAGAGATTGCGATCTCAACGCCGCGCCGCCTCGTGTGCCGTGAGTCAAGGGGTTCTGACCTAGAGAATCACAATTGATACTGGCCGCTTCCTTATTGAACATTGCATCACAATTGTGTGTTACTGTTGTTATGCGTGTTATATTATTTAGTCTAATGTCATTTTCAAAATATAATAATCAAATTAGATTTTTAACGTTCTTTGCAAATAAAAGTCACTGTCATTTCTACTAGATCTTTTAGTCTATACTTTTTGTCCGAGATTTTTCCAATAGACTTTAATATGGCGTTCTTCAAACCTTATCAAAAAAAAAATTCAATACCCACCTGAAAGAAACTTCTTAACATGCAATATTCCCATATTAAGCCTTCATGAAATTAATTACCAGAACTACCCTTGAACATTCTTCTCATTATGTCCTACTGCATGGAAAGAGTCATCCTCTTCACCAATACCTACAAAAACCTGAGGACGAAAAGGAATATTTATTACATAACTACATTGTATAGATTTAATCGTGACATATTTAGATACGAAAAAAATTAAAAATCATTATCAGTTGTGCTCATGCCTATACTCAATTTAATAGCCAACATAAAAATTGATGTTATTATTTATTGGAATGGGTCGAGCAAATCATAAGATACACTCTGACCCCTACACTGCACGAAGTCACGTAGGACATAGACGTTACTGTCCATCCATCACCATCCATGTCAGTTTTATTGATCGATCGACACTCTTCAACATACGGCCGATATTTTTTTTTAAATTTGATAATGAAATGGTGCACCCGCCTGTGCTAACGGTGCAGGCGAGGCGCCGGTGGAGTATGATAGGATATTAGATCAGGTCAGTTATCGTGGCGAACTCCGCAAAAATTTATAACTATGGTTTCCAGGAGGGACCACATTGAAGACCGCAACGTGTCCCTAGATGTTGTAATTGGATCTAGAAATATTAAATTTGGTACAAACGTTTCTTCATGTTTCAATAGGCACTAGCTATTTTCTAATATATATAGATCATACTCATGATCTGATGTTTGCAACGTGCGCAGAATACAACCCCGACCACGGGGGCCGTCAAATTTGGCTATTATTTTCTTTATTTATATAAGATACATCAAACCATAATATGTGATGATGTCTTTGTCATTATTTTATGAATACTGTTTCTATAAACGACTACTCTATAGTAATTGCGATGTTAATGATTAATGAACTATGCTATAATATATGGCTGCTAGCGGCGCCATTACCACAAAATTGTAATTTATACATTTATTTACATTCTGTTCTACACTATTTTTGGGAGCTCAATTATTAATTCGTTAAGAATACCTAACTAATACTCATAAAATGACACTATTTCGTATGGAACGGAAACAATGCTTATATTTTAAACATGGTGTAGAATAGATAACCATTCTAAAAAAATATTCGACCTTCACGCGGACTATAAAATTGATGCTAATTTTTATTCTCTGTTTGTTGGCAGGCATGAAAATGACTATGTCCACGACGGCTACCATGACCGCCCGTGTCCACAGGAAAGTAATGAGGGCGCCGCATAAACGAGTGCACCCGGGCAAAACGGCGCACCCAGGCAAAATGGTACACGCAGGAAAAATGGCCCATCAGGGCAAAATCCACCACCCGGGCAAGATCGTTCACTCGGGCAAAATCGCACAATTAGGCAAATTCGGAAAACTCGCTCATTACACACAGACACATGCTCTACGGCCGCCTGAGCCCTGCGAGAACAGTAATGATAGCGGACTCGGTCCAGACCCAATTAACAGGTAAGCTGACAGCTAAACTAATTCACTTTGTTAATGTAACCTTAGGAATATATCGCAATTGTTGTTGCATTAAATATATACACCCAATGTCTATCTTCCATGATCCAAAATGACGTCGAGACAAACTATATGTGCTTTTAACTATTCCAAATCTAATCGAATGCATCCTAAGCTTGTTATGAGAATCTTCGTATTTGCTTGTAGGATTCTAAAACATCTTGTGCAAATTTAATAATCTACCCATCCAAATAATTTGTAATACTTAAGAAGTCTCGAATTAATCAGCTTAGCAGAACAAGATCGGACATAATTCAATCGTGTCGGACATTAAAGTTAGCCTATAAAAGTACAACTTTAACATAGAAGCAGAATCCGATCGAAAATTTTCGTCTAATTACATAAAAAAATTATGACTAATGATAAACAAGCTGATGTTAAGCAGTAGCCATCGCCTATATTCCTGATCTACGGATATCACTTGATACCACTCCTAGTTACCATAAAGGACTAAAATATCGTTCTGTAATTTGCACCCTACAGACGAAACACAACTTACAAAGCAAACTTGGCGACCGAAATATGAGACTTTTTAAGACCGAAACGATTAATTATAGAAATATTTACAAGAACATGGTTCTAATCATATCGTATTTTGGTTATTCCATAAACGTTTGCGTTTAGTGATAGTTTGCACTAGATGTATACATTTATAGAGAACGGACTACGATCTGAAACGCGATTTATTTCAATCTTTTAACCACTTACTGCGTGCAATAAATTTAAATTGCTCCCTCATTCAACCTTCACAATGCTATCTGCTAATGCATGTATATTTATTTAATAGTAGCTACTTTTAAAGCAGATTCACTTCGTATTAAACCAACCGTACTTGAAGATAATACTGAAAATTCATTAGTACAAACAATAACAATTTTAATATATTAAAAAAGAACTTAACTTAGAAATAAGTTACAATTTCTAGCTATTATAATAAATAAGATCAACACACAAATCCATTTGGTGCATGTATTACATATATAATATCTTGCAAATATATTTGTTTAAAGACCCAGATAATAGATGCAGAGTCACCTTCAAAACATCACTCGACTGTATTGTTTCTAAATTCCCAATTGCTTTACTCTTGATATGATCTAAATTTTCTGTGGCTATTTTGTTTATTTAACATTTAAATAAACTGTCAATTGTTACAAGTTGTTCACCAATTCGAATCTACAAAGAGAACATACTTGAAAAAAAGAAAAATATTCAACATAAAGCTTTAAGAATGTTTTGGATCTCGTGATTGTAAACTGTATGAGATTTATCTGTAGCACTACAATATGATAACTACTATGAGCAATAATAACTTTAATGCTCAAAAGATGCCTGACAAATTAAGTTCCATAAAAGCACCAACCCCTTAAACTAATAACGATAGAAAAAGCAAACTGTTTGCTCCAGATACTCTGTATCTTAATTCAATGTATGAAGAGTCTATATGCAACTGTAGATGTGAAGGTACAAAGTTTATTATTTACTACATTAATCTGCACAATCGACATAGTATAGTTATAATCGTCAATGGCTCATGATCTCAAACGGCGCACGCGCACGCTCGAGCTACGCTTATATCACGGGCGTCACCAACATCATTCCTCTGCCACGTCATTACACGTGCCATTTTATGCGCTTCTTAATTATTTGCATCAATTATCGAACAATTATGTTTTTTCTTCAAAATACAACTGTTTACATGTTTAAGTTTGTTTATAGTGTACAGATATACAATCTGCCTGGGTGTTACAGTGTAGCGAGTTATACGCGCTCTCTTTACACGACCTTCGCTTCTGTTTACTTTACAGTAAGCGCATACGTAAATTACGTGCCCACTGCCTCTGTTGTGACTTATTATCTGAACAGGGTTGCCAATTTTATCTATATATTTTTAGTGTTGGCTATAACAGAAATAGAAATAATCTTTATATGAAATAAACTTAACATAAGCACTTTAGATTAATATTATTTTTTTTATTCTACCACTCATTCGGAATGCTGATTCATCACAATAAGAATAAGCAGATACTTGCGTGTTACTCTTTTAAACAAATGTTGTTCTAAGTAAATACACATTAACAAGGATTAGGCATGCAACAGTCAATATAGAGACGTATAAGAAATCATATTTCTTCACTGCACTAATCAATAATTTTATTAGGGATCATGAATCCAAAATTTAATTAGTGGTTTAAGCTATTACTCTATGGTTAGACCAGAAGTACCGCAACCTGCACAGATATTGTGTTGGACATTATATAGAATTAGCTGTATAGGCCCGTCAGAGACAAGAATTGAAGGAATTCTTCGTTCTTAGAATCGATGGCTTTTATCTTGTAAGTAGTTAACTTAAAAGTATTTTTATTATGATTAATGTATATATACTAAAATTAAAGTTAATATTTATTTATTTTTATCAAATTTTAAGACTTGTATTTTATTAGTGTAATAAGCAAAATAAGATAATATACAAGTAATAACTGTGCTGTGATGAGGTTTGGAGTACCAAATTAGAGTATCTCTGCACTCTCTAAGATTGGCTAGTAGAGAATCTTAACACATTAAAGACCGCATGCCCACCGGTGGGTTACTCCTCAACGAAAGTAAATTTACACGTTGGGAACGGGTGATCACCCGTGGGCACTTTAATTGAAATAAATCTAGGGGTTAAAGTCTACCTCAAAATATTGTAGACTAAAAACATATTTACAAAATAATATACGTAATTAACAATAAAAAATGCGGGTACCTATGTGAGAAATAAGATTTTTCAATGCTGTCTTCAACGTGTTAATAGCAGCATTAAGCCCCGCCTATTGTACATTATTCACCCTCGAGGGCATAGCTGAAAATCAGTGTTTTGCTCCTTAAGTGATCCACACTGAGCTGTGTACCAGTTATGTATTGCTGTAGTACACACATGCAGGTTTACCCTTATTTGATTGTTATATTATACTTGTTATTTGACGTTTTAATTAAGTCTATATGTGTGTACCAAGATACAAATAAAAAATATTATTTATCTATTATGTACAATTCATTAAAGTTTAAATAAAATAAATAAAAACATTTTTAGGTCGTTTGGTAATATATTTCAAGATTGGCAACCCTGAAAATAGCAGATCTTTGCAAGCACGCTTGCGCATATTGGCGTACCGTACATATTACGTCATTTTCAAAGATTTGATCAGAGCTGCGGTAAACCGCATAGTCGAGCGTTTTTAAACATGTTTTGGTAGAAATTTTCTAGTCCTTTGATCGTGTTTTTTAAGAAGTCTAGTATTTATAATAATAATAATATTTCAGGACAATTCACACAGGGCCATCTAGTCCCCAGCTAAGCACAGCTTGTGTTATTGGTACTAGATAACTGATATAAACACTTAGATACTTTTTTTTTTATAAATACATACATAATATACATAGAAAACACCCACACCGACACAAACAGTCATACTCATGAATATAAATATTTATGCCGAGTGAGAAATCGAACCCGCGACAAAATTTCATGCGAGTGAAACCGGGGGTACAGGTAGTATTAATATATAACTAGGTCTGCAGTGGATTAAGTTTTATTAGAGTAAACCATAAATCCACTAGTAGAACGAAATATTCATTTAAACATTTTGCTTTTGAAATTTGTAAACACAAACTGTTGGGATATCCGTCCAGATATGTCTACAAAATGTTTTTTTTTATAAATAATTCTGTTTTTAAATCATTGCAAAATACAATCAGCCTATATGTATAATGTGTTATATGTGCTTTTTTATGTTTTTCAATAGCACAGTAAACAAATTATAGCATAGCAAATGCAAATTTATTCGTAAATTAACAGATCTTTTCAACATACTTAGGAAGGGGCATTGTAACAGTAGAATAAAAAATAAAAAAAAAAAATTTCATCACCCACGTGTTAAGCACTCTGCGCCTGTCAGCAGAGCGGACATGGCCATCAATTCCGTTAATTTATTCACATAATCGAAAGTTCTGGAGCAGATTCAAATGTTCACTGTAAGACATGAAGGTCATCGTGGAAGAAGACCTTTCTCTCTCTCTCCAGAGTGAGTGTAGGAAATAGAAAAAGGAGCTGCTGTTGCCTGTTTCCTATGTATTTATTCGAGTATAGTGAATACTTGTTTACATTCGTTATACTCAAATAAATACATATATTTACCCTCTTATTCTTAAAACGGTAATCCTTCAACAAACCTAGATTAACTATCGTTCCGTCTCTCTCTTTCAACTGATATACCCTATTTGATAGAAAGTGACAAAACGTTAGTTTAGTTTTTTGAAGGTTTGACGTTCTTGTGGATAAAAAGGATAGGTATTATTAAAACCCATATGTCATGTACAGATTATCGGACTCGGTGGAGGAATGGGAGCACCCAGATATGAAACGGAGGCGTGGCGAGAGCGAGACGGCAGTAAAGATAGAGTGCGACAACGCTAACGATGCGTACGCGTTCCCGACGCCGTCCGCCCCCGCTTCCGCGTCCGCGTCCGCTCCACTCGATGGCTCGCTGACACTCGCGGCTACTCCGATCCTGCCCCATCCTGTGTATGTTAATGCACATTTACTCACAACTCGAGTTCTTCAATTTGTTATATAGATTTAGGTACCCCTTTATTCATTACCAGCTCAACCCGGCCCGGCTTCACCTAAATATTTATAGAGCTCTATTTTTTTTTCAATTAAAGCACCGCTAATGGTACATAGTAGTGATATGGGTAACTATAGGTGCAAGAATTTTTCAAATCCGTTTAGTAGTTTTTGAGATGGATCAACCATATCAAACGAAAAATATTTTTTTACTTTATGAAGTTTGAAATCAAAATGTCTTGCAAATTGTAAAGTAGGTATATTTTAACTATTCTTCTTTCTTTCTAAACAAGGAATTTATATCTTTCTTTAAAATTAAGAAAATAGCTGCCCTGGATTTGGATAGCCGATCCTAATCACGATTCGGAACGTCGAAGTGGAGTATAATATTTTATAAAATAAGGACAAAACAATTGAATAGCTAAAATACGGTAATTTAATGCTTAATCTGTTAGTAATAAGAGGGATAATTCGTTTTCTTTTATCTACTTATATTTTTTAACCTTACATTCCTTTATTCCGTCAATATAGACACATAGAAAGCTAATTTAGCGTTCTTACACGAAGACACTTCAACTTTTCTTCGACACATTGTATATTTGTGAAACTTATGTATCATAACAATTTATTTATACATAATTATATATAAATGAACTAAAAAATATATCTGAATGATAATTTTAATAATACCTTTAGATACTAACTATTGCATAACTCTGATAGCATGAAAACACTAAATCTTTACATATATTTTAGCTATTAAACTGTTTTGCTCCAATCTGTCAAGCTACTTTCTTAATTTAAAGGAATATAATAAACACTAAAATTACTTTTACATCTTTTTTTATGATTGAGAAGGTAAAACTAAGTACTAATTGAAAATGACTTAGTAAATTGCTGATTCTGTCTAACTTTTAATTTCTGACTTTATTTTCCACTTTATTCTTTTAACATTTTTATTATTATTTCATAATAGATAATACATTTCAGACTTTGTTGTGAACTCTTTTATAACTCATTTTAATTTTAGTTTAAATTACATAATCATCATAATATCGCGAACAGCTGAGCACTTGTGTTTGCCACTCAAAAATAGCTATTATCGTATGTATATATAAAGCTGAATTACACTTAGATGCACGCTGCCATACATTCACCGTATACATAGCCCAAGAAATCGCATGGCCATATCTGTAACAGAATGCCATCTGATAAAATATACGTCACTAATAACTATGCGTGTGTTCTACTATAAATAAAGCATTTGTTTCTTTCTCAGACGTTCACCAAAGTGGTTTTATATGAAGTGTAATTACATTGAGCCGTAAAAAGAATGTTTTAAATCAAATACGTAATAATACAATTAAATACTCTAACATTTGTATAAAAGTATATTAACATATAAATATAATGTGTTATATGAAATTATCCATTAATAATTACGTTCAATATAGATATTGAATAAAATATATTTCAATTTTAAAAGTTTGGTTGTATTTGGGCATGAAAATCTAGTTAAATATTAATTTAAACTTTAACAAAATATTGTTTAAAATTTATGGTTCGAAGTGTTCTCAATAGTTCATTTTATAGTATATTTACACATAAATTCGAAATTGGTGAAAATAATAATATTATAATAGTTGCTATTACTGTCTTTACAGAATAAGAGCGGGCTGCAGTATATCTAGTCCAAGCATCAGCGAGACACAAGGCAAAAGATTCCAAGACCAGTACAAATCGTGCGGGAAATTTGGAAGTAGTGGCAAGCTCGCGAACAAATACGCCGGAGGCGGCAAGCTAGGGGGCTCGGGCGGCAAACTGGGGGGCAAAGGGGGCAAGTATGGGGGCAAACTCGTCCAAGTACTGGCGCGGCGGAGAGCACTCGCCGCCATGTCACATTCGGGACCTCCAGGTTTATCAGCGCCGCTCACCAATAGGTCGAGAGACGGGACAGTAGAGCTGCAGATATTATGTCAACCAGAATCACAGCACAGAGCGAGGTGAGTCTTTTTATAAGTTCCTTTAATACGGATTCCGTTGAAAAACTACATTATATTTTGCTGTAGTATACAGATGGAGTTTCTGTAATGGATAATAATGGAATGGTGCACACACCTGCGCTAACAGTTTATGCGTGGCACCAGTGAAGGATGATAAGATAAACTTGAGGTCAGGTCAGTTGGCCCATCATAACAAATTCACCATCAATTTGGATTTCAGGGTGAAGGTTAATCTAACGTGGTGTATAGTTAGCAATGGGATCATCAGTCCACATTACTAACAATCCCCTTTCCGTCATTAGTATAAGATGCGGCAGTCTACAGTAACGTCATAGACTCGTGCTTGTCAAATTTATGAGGTAAAAGAGATACGAAAGAAAGTATGACCAGACAAATGTCCAAATGCGTCCTACCTTCCTCGCTATATTTCCACGCTGCCACACGCCGAGTATTTAATACGATGGTCCTTAGAATACCCTTTAGAGACTGACTGCACTTAGAGACTGCCGCACATGAAGTTCAGAACCTATGGACAGACGACCTCCTATTTCATGATTGTCCTCATAATTCCTTATTATAAATAACATTTAAGTATGTTAGTATTACCGCCCGTAAAAGGTTTTATAAAGTTACATAAATTTTAGTTTAAATTAATATTCAATTACAAACAACCCCATTGAATACAAGTTTCGAATATCTTTACTTGGTAGTTAATAGCGTCTTCTGTTACAGATATCAGACTGAAGGCAGCCGAGGGGCTGTTAAAGACAATTCAGGCAACGGATTTCCAATAGTGAAACTGGTCGGTTATGATAAACCGGCTGTATTACAGGTATATACAGCACATAATTTAAAACAAAGAGTAGCGTACCGTAAACTGCACAACGACTCCACGGTAAACCTAACAAGACATTAGATTCTACACTAAATCATTTACCCATCAGAGTCTTAAGACTTCAAGGTTTTGTTGTACGATACGCAGTAATTTCACAGACATATCAAACTCTTAAAGCCGAGAATCTAAATAGTATCCTAGCAAAATGTTTAATTATCAACTTAACAATCATACTCATGTATACAAATATTTGTACCGGGCGAGGAATTGAACCCGCGAACATCGGAAGTAAAGCATTTGTTTTTTTAATGCATAATGGAATGGTGCATCCGCTAACGTAACGGGCCCTGCACTAATACGCTGGCGAGGCATCATTGGAGGATGATAGGATGAGCATGAAGTCAGATCAATTAGCCCATCGTGATAAATTCACCAGGAATTTATCGTTATGGTTTCCAGGGGGAACCGCATGGAAGAAATCCTGACATATTACATTGCTAGCAATGGGGTAATCAGTCCACATTACTAACAATCCCCTTTCCCCGAATAAACATTTGTGAACATACTTTCCAGGTGTTCATAGGTACAGATACTGGCCGGGTAGCGCCACACATGTTCTACCAGGCGTGCAGAGTCTCGGGGAAGAACTCGACGCCTTGCAAAGAACGGAAGGAAGACGGAACTGTAGTGATTGAGATCGATCTGGAGCCGTCCAAGAACTGGCAGGTCACCTGCGATTGTGTGGGGATACTCAAGGTTAGTAATACAAATTAAAAATGAAATTAAATGCTAACCAAATATTTTAGTGACAGGAGTGTTCCAAGCAGAAGCAAGAAGAGTTGCCAAAAATACTGAACTTTATGGCTTAGATTCCAGTACACAATTTTTGGCCGCTGCGATTTCGTTGGTTTGCAAGTCTCTCGTCCTGATATCTTGCTAGTACTTACTGATATATCTACAAGAAGTCGCGTCCTATGAATAGTTGTATTCGATATGACGATCTGCTACATATTCTCTCTTTAGGCGCATGACGTGGCCGAACCACCACAAGAGTCTCTCTTCAAGATTGTTGAATTTGACACGAACTCCGAAAGTCTTAATACTGTGTGAAGGATGCTCATTAGATAAGACTGCATAATCATACCGTCTTAGATAGTGGTAATTTTTTTAAAGATATATCTCTGTTTCTTGACGTTTATATAACCTGCATTCATAATATACTTTTTTATACTGAACTGACAATAAATTTAGAAAATCATTTTAAAAAATTTCACACGGTGAGCTCTACTTCGTAAGGAACCTGTCGATAAGATAGAAGATATAATTAATAAGTGGATAAGGATGCGTAATTTCTGTACCTGTATATCTTGAAAAGATCAGTCCGGTCGAAGACCTGGCTTGCGAGAACTGAGATATATAGATAGAAAAGATTTGACATGTCATAAGACTCAGTAATAGACCTACACGAATAAGTAAGACTCGTTTCTTACATCTCATACTATAGGGATTCAATACGCATGAAATTCATTTCGAAGAGAACGTTATAATTCATTGTGTGCAATATATAATACAAATCGCGACTTCTCGACTCGCCATCCTTTATCGTCGGTCAACGCGCTCGCAACTAATAAATTATGATTATGCGGGCTGCGCAGGCGCATCGCACCATCGTACATAAATAGGCCTATGCTATACCAGCATGTTGAATAACTCAATCGTAGAGACAGAGTCCTTATCTGAACTTAGACGTAAATTGTCTTAAATATAGTAAGTTGCGAGTACAATAAGAAAAGACTATAGTTGTTTTAAGATCGTTGGTTAAGGTAAATGTAACACAGTTGTAATCGTTTCTCAATTGAAAATTGTATCTAATTCTTCGATTTCTGATTCTTTTTAATTGTTTGGTACTCAATAACCTCCAATGAAATGTCTTGAATTGAATTTGGTGCATAGATTCACAATAACCTACATTAAATATAGGTTAGTTTATAGGATATTAGGTTAGGTGGATACTTTTTTCGCGATATACATTAATACTAATTCTCTCTACTTGGGTTTCTGCGTCTGAACGGATTTAGATTTTTGGTATAGCGATATTATTAAATGATTTTATCATTATAAAGCAAAATTACAATTGGGTTTTTTTTTTGTTGCTAATTTACAATTATGACGCAGAAGATCGTTGAACCCTATATGCTACAGAATGAGTGAAAGACGAAATGACATTCGCTGTAGGGAAATGAAATTTAATATTAGGCTAGAATGATTATTAGGAATAATAGAATGTCTATTCTTAATTTGACCACCGAGAATTTACGTTTTTCCAAGTGGCTGAAAATGGAATGGCCTGCGCTAAGCGTAACGGTGGCAAGGCATCAGTAAAGTGTGATAGGATAAGGATAAAGTTAGGTCTGTTTGTCCAACGCGGCTAATTTATTAGGAATTAACCCCGACGCTTTCTTTGGAGGAACGGGTGGGGTTGATCTAATACTGCACATCCCCCAGAAGAATTGCTTGAAGATGTACCTGATAAGGAACTTCGTCTGAATTGGGGTCAATAGTTGAAGACTATAGGAACAATTTACTTTCTCCCATGAGGTAAAGGGGAATTATTAGTATGAATTAACAAAGGTTGTGATTACCAGGAGCGCAACGTAGATGTGGAGCATAGATTCGGTGAGACGATGGGAGGAGGCGCAGCGGGCGCGGGGCAAGGCGCGGGCGGAGGCTCGGCGCACGTGTCGCGCGGCAAGAAGAAGTCCACGCGGTGTCGAATGGTGTTTCGTACCGACATTGTCTCCGCCGCCGGCCACAGGGAGACGCTGCAGGTCTGCTCCACGCAAATCATATGCAGTGAGTATTACCACTTGTTTTATATTATCCAAGACTAATGTGAACCTTACAGCCCGATATTTATAGCTGCCTTTACACGTACGCTCTTTCGCGAATATGTATTCATGCAAAAAAAATGTGCATGTAAATGTAGAAAAGGAGAACGAGAAAGACCTCGCGCGCCGTCATTTCGCGCATTCCCGCGTTCTTCAATCGTGTGTACTTTTTTTTAATTTAGCCAAATACGGATATATATTAAATATTTTTGTATTAATTGTTAAATTGCGTATAATGAAGGAGAATGAATGGATATATATATAACTATGGAACAGGAGAAAAATTTTTTTCTAATTATAGAATTATTAGTAATTTATGAATTTTAAACCTGTCTTTTGAAAATAAAATCTAGACGACCACTAATGTTTATAACATCTCAAACATATTTATTTAAAAGAGCAACACACATGTTTCTTGTTCATTCTTCTTGTGATGCGACTGCATTCCGAATGAGCGGTAGAATAAAAAAATGTGACTATTCAAATGTGAAGATTATTTCTATTTTTTATCATGAGCATTTTCTACCCTCAGCACAACCGCCTGGCGTCCCAGAAGTATGCCGCAAGTCATTAGTATCATGCCCCGCCACGGGCGGACTCGAGCTGTACCTCCTCGGGAAGAACTTCCTCAAAGAGACCCGAGTGGTGTTCTGCCAGCGGCAGGACGGCCGAAACGTCTGGGAGGAAGAGGTGGTACCTGACAAGGAATTCTTGCAACAGGTATTACTTTGCAAATATTATTGCAATTAAATAGAGCAATGACTCTATAGTCAGCATAAACAATTAAATAAATCAGCCAGATGATTGACTTAAAATGGCCGTACAGTAAATTCATTGGGGAATGTTCCGCTTTACTATCTGAAATAAAGAAATAATAGTGGGCAATTATACATGTCAAATAACAGGTTCTTTATATAGATGATAATGGACTGGTGCATCCGCTTACGCTAACCGTATACTCTAGCAGGGCACCAGTGGAGGATGATAAGACAAGTATGTGGTTAGGTCAGTTAATCCATTGTAGCCTTTACTTCAGGCTGAGGGGCAAGTGCAGGTGGCACTCCAAGCTCGCGGAATTTATGTAGCTGAAATATACGAGTGTATTCTGAGGGCAGTACTAGAGGTTTTAACCTCAGCTCAGCTGGTAATTTGGATCCCCATTTAAATTGAAGCGGGATGTATGTAGTGGCTGGAAGCCACCTCCCGCATGACGGATTCGCCTGTATTCTAAGGGCATCACTAGAGGTTCGAAACTCGGCTCAGGTGGTAATTTGGATCCACATTGGATTGGATGGATCGGACATTTGCATTTGGTTTTTATTTTTTCGGACTACTCTAATGCTGTTGGCCTTTACAAGTTCACCGGATAATAGGGGACGAGTACAGATGGCACTCCAAACCGGCGAAATGACTTATGAAGCGGTTGAAGGCCAACACCCGCCTGACGGATACGACTTTAGTCTGAGGGCACCGCTAGGGGCTCGAACCTCGGCTCAGGACGTCGTAAGATCGATCGGAGGGGCGACTGGAAGCACCGGTGTGGAGCGCCCGGGCCCGCGTAGGCACCCGGCCGATTGCACGGTATTGTGTATTTGGGGTCGTCGTCTTCGCCGGCGAGGACGGTGTCATGTGTGTATGTAAAAGTGTGGTCGAGACGGTATGGATCTTAAATAGTACGGGGGTTACAAAGTAAAGCGTTTGTGACAGACGCACCTGGTGTGCTGCGTGCCGCCGTTCGCGCGCGCGGACGTGTCGGAGGCGGTGTCGGTGCAGCTGTTCGTGCGGTCGGGCGGGCGCGCGTCCGAGCCGCACGCGTTCTACTACACGCCGCCGCACCTCGACACCGGCCCGCTGCACTGCACGCGCCACCTCGCGCCGCCCGCCAACACTTCCGGTACGTTCTCGGACCTCCGCGCCGCATCCAATCGACCCGCTTCATGTTATACGCGAGACGTGTTCGCAACTATCACAAGTCAAATGAACGTTGACGAGTACGTAGGTTAGACCGAATTATTTTATTAGCTGCCTTTACACGTACGCTCTCACGCGCGATTGGGTTTTGCAGGAAAACGTGTGCATGTATATGGAGACAAAGAGAACGAGTACAATTGTGCGCACCGCCAGTTCGCGTATTCCCGCATCCTACAATCGTGCGTGCTTTAGCGCAACTACGAGTATAATTGCAAAATGGCGGACAGTTGACTACGCAGCAAACACCTCTAGAGTTACTGATAATAAATAAATCTTAAACGTGTCTTTAGAAAATAAAACTGTGTATTTAAAAAAGTTAATTTTTAAAAATTGCAAACTCATGCGAAGGGTGTACAAAAAAATAGTCAAATGCAATTGATCAACTCATGATTGCGCGCGCTGGCTTTCCCGCGCTAAATCGCGCGCGTTTCTGATCGCGCGTGAAAGAACGTGTCGTGTAAAGACAGCTATTTACCTGATACTACAAGCCCGGTTTTTATTATGTTTTGTGCAGCAAATTCGTCAATTTTTGTTTGATTTTATCTCATCGCAGTGACTGTGTATATACCTGTGATTTTACCCTTGGTTTTTGGGTAAATACATTTTTTAAGAGTCATTTTATTATAGAAGCCGCTTTAAGTTGTCTAATGTGTAGATAAATTGCTTGATAGGTGAATCTCCATTGGTCTTGAGAATTTTGATTATTATTTTATTTAATACTAAACTTTGGTGTTTTTTAAATAGATATATAAAAAAATATTTATCGTAATATATGTCTACTAAAATTAGTGCAGAACAAAAAAATCGAGAAATACAAAAGTGAAATTATTCGAAGGTCTTGAAGCAATTTGTTTTTGTGGATGCTTCCAGAGCATTTCTTTATTATGTTGCCCCGGATTGATCATTTGACTTCATTTTTTTCTCAATACATTCGTTGTTTCTCAAACTCAAAATTATTGTTAAACTTTTGGCACTCCCTCATATCAAAATTGCTGTTACATAAATTGCTATATGAAACATTATAATTTTGTATACACTTATATTCGTTTTAGTGATTTTTTTTTTATAAGTTTACAATTAAACAAGATTTGGTATTTTTTAAATATAAAATTAATATTAAACACACAAACATCGCGTAGAAATGTAATATTATTACCGCTTGTTCTCATTCTTTTGTTCTGTGATTAGTAGATCGAATGCTATCATAGAAGAAAGAATATTATATGCGTAACATAAACAAATCCACAGATAATAAGAATGTTGCACATAATTATTTCATAACAGTTGCATGTGTATATGCCAAATTAAAGGAAATTGATTATATTATATATTTTTCATCTAAAATTGCTTTAAACATGTTGGTACATACGACCACAAAAGGGTATTATAGTAATTCAACGCTTTATCATACTAAATTTGTTCTCTTACATTTTTGTGTACTTTTCAAGAATTTAGATTTGATATTAAATGTAATTTTTTTATATAAAGTACATTTAGGGGATGTATTAAAAGTTTTATATATACATATATATTTGTGTTCGTATAGTACCAACTTTAAAAAAAATGTTGCTTTCGATATCTATATAACCGCATGATTTAGACTCGCTTTCCATGTGCACTGTAACTTTAACATTGACAATCTACGCATGATATTGTACATTAATGTGCGGTTAGGCTAAAATAAGATTATTAAGTATATTATTTATGAATATGAGAAACAATTTTGGAAGAAATGACTGATACGTAAATGGCGTACTCTTTCTTTTTTTCCCTTCTGTTCAAGCTAGGTCTGTCTAGGTAGCGACCACGGCCGCAGCCCGCAGCCGCCTGCTGACCCGCGCCAGCACGGTACTGACGCACACCAACACACACACACCACTCGCTACACACCACCATCAGAAGTCAAATAGCTGCTCACTAAACGCCACGAGCAAGAAAATATTGTACAAAAACTATAATGTAATCACCCCCTATTAAATTCGATCTGTCAATGTCAGTATCTGTCTAATGTCACTGTCAAAATATATCCCACGTTTTCTCTTCTCCATTACTATATTATAAATTAATAAAATGACTGCAATTTTGTTCGAGTCTTTACATTACCCACTGGCAACGCTCTGCACAATAGTAAAGAATAATAATACCAACTGACAGACATGTAAAACAATAGCTGTATGAGCTTAGTCCTGTTTGCCTCGCCATAGACACTGAAAAATGTATATAAATTAGATGTTTGCGCTGAAAAGAGAGGTCTTTAAAAGAGTATATACTGTTTACTCCTTTAAATCAACTTATTGTCAATTCTATAAAAATATTTTTTAGTATTTTCATACTATAACACTATTGTTAAAATTTCCAAATGTAATATGAAATAACCCCAATATGTGACAATCTTCCTGCTCGTGGCGCGTGCTTGAATGACAATATAAATCTATGGTTGAATTGCCTAATTTTAAAATGTAATCTATGGTTATATAATTTTGAATTAATTATATATTTTTAATGTTAAGATTTTAGACTTTTGAGGCCCCAACTCAAAAGCAACCAAATTGTTTTTTAATTTTGTTTAAATTATAAATAAATATCAAGTATCTTATAAATTTGATAATAACTAATTATAACAAAGATAGCATCACTATGTAGCATCAGAGATACTTATTATTATAATTAATATTAAAAAATAGTGTATTATTTAAAATGTTTTTGGATTCACTCGTTACTACTGTTACATATAAGTATAATAGCAATAGTTTTCAGCTGAGGACAAAAAGACTCACGAACGGCACAAACAATACCGCGATATTCTCCAGCAATAAAGGTGTATTTTACTCATTTCGACCGTAAGTGTATTGTCATTAAATTTAAAATAATTTTATACCTTCTGACATAACCATAAACACACTGTCATACACAAATACAAAAAGTACATACAGAAAGCAATCACATGCACACATACGATTCCTGACTCTTTCCACATATTTACTATCGAAAGAATATCCAAAATACAATTCACAGCGTAGACCTACTCGGTCAAGGAATACTACGCTGGCAGCCATTTTGTTTACAGTGACCGAATGGAATTCTCGTCGAATGTAAATCATAGACAATAGGAGCACACATTGCCACACTTAACATACACTAATACTTAGTAACACGGTTCAGATTAACACGGTTATAGGAAAAAAAACTGAAGAAATAAATTTGGGCGATCACGTTTGGATATGCTGATGCAATTTAGACTATATTTATACCGATACAGAGTTCACTACTCAGTGACACTTACACGAAGAGTAGGCACAGACTCCACAGATTTCCCCCATCCCTGACACTATAGATAGTTTAAACGTGCCTGAAAACCCTTCATACACCGCAATAACTGCTTTGAAACCCAAAGATGAACTTATTTTGGCTGCTCTCGAAATATGAACTTTATAAATGAGTCGTTAAAGTTAGATTTCTATGTTCATTGAAATATTTGAACAATGAAAAAGTAAAGAAAAGTTCATTCTCAAGTCAGTCGAAATGGTTCTAATCTGAAGCCCGGCCGTTCTGTACGGAAAATAAAATTATACCAACTAAAATTACCACGCTATACTTTCAAATGTGTCATCCAAAAATGAACACGAATGAATTGGAGAAAATCAGAGGGAGGACTTAACATATGTGGGGAAATTACAAAATTGTCACAGTGCATCCAAGAAAAATTTCAGCGAGCGTCCGATATGGAACCGAACAGAAACGAAACGTTTCAGAAAATCTGGAAGACGACATTTTAAATTTTTTACGCCGCTCTTGCTCAGTGCAAGAAAAAAGTCAAGAGTTGCTACATATAATAAAAGTGAAGCCGGTTCTAAATTTCATTAAATAATTTAATATATAATAAGAAATATATGATAGGAACAGTTCTTAATGAGGTATAATAATATTTAACGAACGAGTTCCTCTAAAAACTTAACACTAAAAAAACATTATTTGTTTGTAATGAATAAATCTAATAATCACATAATTCTGAACATGAACAAATGTATCCATCAATTTCGAGTAAGTTTTAGCGACCTCACATTCAACGTTCTCTCTCGACTTCTTTCTCGCTCTGGCGTTCCTGCGTACGCCAGGAAGAAGATCGCGTGGTAATTTTCGTTGGCAATTATCCGTGGAGAGCGGACGGGCGTGCGGGCGGGGTGATGCCGCCGCCGCCCGCTGACGGTCTCGTGGCGCAGGTGGCGCGGCATCCGGCGGGGCGTGTGGTAGCTCGGCGGGCGGCAGCGCGGCCCCCGGCGGCGCGGAGGAGGCGCGGCCCGTGCTGATGTGGGGCGGCGCGGCGCTGATGCCGCCGCCCGCGCTGCCCGTGCGCCGCCCCTCCATCATCGTGCCCGACCCGCACTCGCCGCTAGGACTCAAGAGCGAGGTCAGTTGTTAGCAAACTCTTAATCCAATTACTCACGAGTTGATGTCGGAGCAAAGGGACCCCGAGTCCCCATCGTTCATTTTGCATTTGAGAAGTACGGTTGACCAGTGTCTGTCTGAGCGAGGTAACTATGCTCGTGTTCGATCCGCGAGCGAGCAGTAGAATAGAAAATTCTTTATTCTAATAAACTTACATATAATTACTTTTGGATAGTCATTACTTGTATTTTTTTTATCTGCTGCTTATTCGAAAAGCTATCTCATCATAAGAAAGAGAAAGAAACTTGCACGTTGCTCGTTTAAATACATTTGATATAAGTTTGCATTTTTAAGTTGAAATATGTGAATACAAACCACCAATTAGCACTAATTCATTAAAGTCAAAATAATAAATACACAATGAAATGGTTGATTAATTACATAAGAGTAAATCTGTCGTAGTTTCTGTGGATTCACAAATCATTTGTAAACTTTAGAATTTTGGCCCATCAACTTCACTTCCAATGACAGGTGGCCGACGAATCCAGCCAGCATTCCTTAGCAGATCACGCGGAGACTTCATGCGGGGCCGAAGGACCCGAGGGAACTTCTCACCAACCACTGCTTACCGAGGATCTTAAAGTCGTCGATCTGAGGCTCAAGTCTGAGACAATCACGAGAGATGGCCAGAGTCAGGTACGTAGAATACATATATGTGACCCTTCTTAGGATGCAAAGTAGTGTAACAACAAGCAAAAACATATGTATGAAATGTTATCGTTTAAAGCCTACCGAATAAATGGCAATTTATATTGAAGCAGGTTGGCTTCGTCAGCGGATACGAGTCCATGAAGCTGTCGCCGACAACCCCGACGCAGAGCGAGCCACCGTCGCCACTCGCTTCCTTCACTCAGCAACTGCAGGCCATACAGAACCAGGTCCAGACAGACAAAATGGTCGAATCTGTCACCGCCGCTATATTTAATTCGGACGACAACGCCGGCCAAATATATCCCCCTATTATGCCTATGTCCACGATGGACTCCATGCGGCAACTCATCTCCTCTAAAACCACCATCGATCCTCTAGAGACGGACATGAAGGTGTTGAACCCAGAAATGATGATAACCGATACTACTATGCAATCGACGGTCCTACAATCGACAACCGAGCAGAGGATGATCGTATACAACCAGATGCCGCCGAACAGAACCGAAGAGAGCTTCAACCCGTTCTGTGCGATGACCAAAATGGACATCGGGATGGGCACGCAGATAGAGCAGCGACTCGCGCAACAGAGCGCTCACATGGAGGCGCTAGTAGATGACGCGATGAAGGCAGCCATCATCATGCCGACGGATGACGCCAAACTGGACGAATTCGTCAACTCGCGGGTGGAAGACCACCTGTCGGGCTCGTCCACGTCGCCGTCGAGCGCGTCGCACGCGTCCGACGTGCTGCTGAGCCCCAACGCGGCCGTGGTGTCACGCAACCCGCCCGCCGATCTCCTCCCCCCCATGCCGGCCTCCGCCATCTCCCCCGACGTGATCCTCAATCCACAGGTGTCCCCCAGTTTACTTTGTGACAACGGTCAGCGCATAGTGATGCCCAGCGGGCCCTCGCAGGACGAGCTGATGATGCTCCCCGATCAAGTGCAGCTGACGTCGGTGAAGACGCCACCGGCGGCCGTCAAGTCGATGATACTGAACGCGGCCGCCGAAATCCTAACGTCGGATTCGACGATGAACGCCCTTGTGACGTCGGCTATCAACACCGCGAATATCCTAACGACGGAGAGCGCGGGAGGTACCGCGGGGCTCCAAACGACGGCGGCACAAGAGCCCGAGCCGGCAGGGGAGGCTCCGATGGCGGCCATGTCGCAGGCCGTATCGCAGGCCGTCACCCAGGCCGTGTCGCAAGCCGTTTCGCAGGCGGTCTCCCAGGCGGTCTCGCAAGAGATGACCGCCCCCGTGCAGGGGCTGACCGACATGAGCGATCAGGATCTCCTCTCCTATATTAACCCCAGCACGTTCGACCAGGGTGAGTACATGATGGACTACTATTGACCTAAGCAATACCCCCTACTTGTAGAATTTACGCTACTCTGTGCCTAATCAGTGACTAATTTATAATATCAAATTCATGTATTTTTAGTGAACTAAGGAAAAGGCTTTATAATTTAACTGAAAATTAAGCGTTTATAAGTGAAGGGGTCATAGACTCGTATAATTAATAACCTTAAATGTTTCATTTGTTAATCATTCTAATAAAACTGCCAATACACTTTGTCGACGTTAATAATCAAAATTGTCATCGCACTATCAACCCTAATCACTGTTATTTTAGAGTTTCGTCTTCTATCAAGCAGTTTGTTCTGCATGTTTTTAATTTATGTTTGCATTATCATAAAGAAATTATAGCTTTTTGCTTTTATCGTGCGCGAGTATTTTTAATATTACATTAATTTGTGATTAATCTTGTTGAGACTCAAAACTAATTATGTGTCGCCTGTTTGCTGTGACGACGATTGATAATTCAAAAAACATTAGAAGACGACAAAAATTATAATGGCTGTACTTGGTTTGTTGCAGTGTAAGTTCGCCGCGTATTTCGCACCGCCGCGTCGCCGCGCCGCAGACTGTTAACTTACGCCTACGTTCAATGCATTTTAGTGATGTGTCGAGGGCTCAAAAGCAGTTTTTATGAATTTTTAATAGATGTCACTGTACGTAGTGATTAATCAATGTAGTTGTAACGCAGTCGGACAATGAGTAATCTCCGTTAAGTTTGAAAAACGTGAAGTGACGTGACCGTGTATGGTTAAGATTTTATTATGATTCTCATACCTATTAATTTTGTTAAATATTGACGGTATGTCATGGACGTCAATTAAATCATGTGAGTCAGTATTACAGGGGAAATTTTATACAAGTGTACACCGAGCGGGGTGGGAGCTAATGGGAGAGTTGCCTGGTGTTGCCTGCAGTAAAATGCAATGTTGTCATACTAACTTATTTATTCCATCCATTGTTTTTTATTAATCAAATATTTATTTTAAAAAATATTACGTAGTCATACTAATATATGAAATAAAATGGACAACGTAAATTCAGTCACAAAACTGTAGGTATACGCCTATACTCTGTTCCTTTACACTTGGTAAATTTATTACACAAATTTGGTATATTTTTATATTGAAATAAGAGTTTGTAAAATAAACGATTAAGTAGAATAAAAAGGTGTTTTGGGTTAATTGATTAAATTTTAATGTATGCTATTGTTATTGACGGGTTTCTACATAAAAATATACCTTTATGTGAATGTAACAAGTGACTGGAACCATAGAGTATAACGATGGACAAGTAGACTCGCATTTCCTCCCGGACTGCCTCGCTCTGATCAGAAGATGTATGTATTTTTGAAAAGTCTTATGAACTCTTAAATCAAACGTGAACTTTTATGGTTTGTATATCGAATTATACTGTGTAAATAGAGTTAGGATTATATTTATGTTGTTACTATAAATGTAGTGCGGTGAGATTAGACCACATTAGTAGGATCGTGTTTTAATTAAGTGATATTTTATTATGTATTCAGTAAGTTTGGGGCTTGATTTGCGCAACATTGTTGCATTTGTTTTTATTTTAATTTTTTTTTCTTTATATACTATACCATAATTTGACAGTTCAAAAATTTATTATCTATGGTAACAGTTTATCGATGCCTTTATGCGTATTTACCATCATTGTAGCATAAAAATATAAACATTGACATTTAAAACTTTTGTGATTATGTCTAAACCACCTCAATTAGACATTTGTAGATATAAAGAACGTATATAGTTCGCAACTGCAACTGTCATACGGGTTATAAGTAATCGCAATAGTTTCAATTTCAATCTATTAAAATTAAAAGCTACTGCAACATTGTTACACAATGAGGTCTCGGATTAAATTAAATATGTATGTTTTTATACATTATTAATTTGGGACGATTATTACGTTCTAAATTTGGCTATATAGTTACATTAATATATTAAATAGATAAATATAAATGATTAAACACTTTTTAAAATGAACTATAGCATGTGAAATATTTGATATATGAATAAAAATAAAATGGTATCGAAAAGTTATAAATTATATAGGTAATCATAATAATAATTTAAATATTCGACAATTGGTATTAAGTTATCAGCCTATACAAGTAATATGCACTGATAATATTATCTGTGGCTTAATTATGTAATGCTGTTACTTAAATTTCACATTGAACACATTAAAATTTTTCCAATAATGTATGAAACTCACAAATGGTTAAAAAAACCGCAAAGCGATGGATTTTAATGTAATAAATAAGAGTTATTAGTAACAGATTTACATAATCAACCGATAATTGATATAAGAAAATATTCAAAATTCCCGCCAAAATATTCTAATAAAATCTACTTCTAAATGTGCAACTTGATACAGTTAAAATTACATACATTACATGTTTAAAATGTAATAATAAAGTATGTTTCAATAGAATCAATGTTGCTACATATTGTAGTCACTATGAGATGGCGCCAATCGTATGTTGGAAATGTCAATTGTCTATAGCCGCATATATTCGCCCTTTGCCTTTCCTATTGGAAAAATAAAAAAAAACGTAATAAATCAATTTATTGAGTGTTGTTTTGGCGGGAAATGGAATGCATCTGTAATTACAAAGCTTATTTGCATATCAAAATATTTTAATAAAACTATTTCAATCTACAAATTAATATAGGTATATCCTTTAAATAAACGTTTGGAATTAAAAAAACTGTCACTTGTTAACTTTTTAATACAATCGTGCAATTTTTTAACTTTATTGAAAAAGAAACGTGTCTTAAATCATTATATATAAAATTTTATCATTTGCAATGGTTTCAATTCTTTAATATTAATAAGAACTTGTCTACTGCGCCACCTAGCGGGAAAATATGTAAATAAATTATGAACAATTATAGTTAGTTGATTTTGTGAACTGAACAAAGTTTCTAAACGCAGAAACAGATTATAAATATATAAGAAACTTTCTAACAACTCTACTCTACTCTAATCATTTAATACATATACCTATATAATTTAATAACTTTTATAATAAAAACCGACTTTTCATGTAATTGTGTGGGACCATCTTCAAAGCAAACCAAGTTAGGAAATTATTGAACATAAAATTTATTCATAAAATAAGCGGATATGTCACGCGACATAAAACAAAGATAAGAACAAACAGTCTAATTAAGAAACAAATATATTTATGAAGTCGGTCCATAAAAAAAATGAAACCTGACGTCATTATGCACATCTATATATATATATAAGGTATACCTACCTTTTATATTTTTATATCAATGTTATATATAGAAAAAAACGTTGCAACGATCGCCGCGCCTACTATATGCTAAATACCTTTACTACTCAAGAACGTTACTAATATAATATATATATATATATATATATTTAACATATATAAAAATGATAGATCTGTTCGATTTAATGTAAATACATATATATAAATATAATTGTCAAATATATTATTGTTCTCGAAATTCGGTTTATAATGTATGTATATGAAAATAACATGACAAAAAGTTATATAAAATCCAAATTCATGTCAACTGAATCAATACACTAGAGTGGGATTACACTAGTTGAGTAGTAAAAGTATTTGGCTAGTGTTTATATCTATTAATGTAATTGTGATATAAGTAACTGTTAATTCAATTGGCGTAACTTTAAAATAGCAGTTAAGACAATTGGGCTGATTCCATCCTCAATATTTGGCGGGAAATTCTATTTTACAATTTGCATACCTCTAAATGTGTCTTGGTATAAAGTTACGTAATAAATTTCATTACGACTTGCATATTTGTATATAGTTTGACGAGAAAAAAATACGTGTATGACTCATTAAGACTTACTTACATGTTCGTTAGTTTGATGGGAAAAAATACGTGTATAACACTGTTAATATGCGTAAGTCTTGTAGAGCCCAGTCCCGCCCAACACCCATATATGTTACGCCAAATTAGTAGCTAATTTTTACATGTGTAAGGAAAACTGTACTGATGTGATGTTAGAGCAAAGATTTATATAAAAAACTATGTTAAACATTATAATGAAGAGTTCATTTTTATAGTTGCATAATGCAGTGGAAGACTACATATTTATATGTGCCATTTATATGTTATCTTAGATTAGAATTTAATGTAAATCATATCGTATGGAAATGAACTTGTTTGAGGAACGAATACACAAGTCGTGCCTTGTGGCGTGTAACACAAGCCGAGATCATATTAGGTAGATATATATACATATGTATATATTTACGTGTATCTCTATGAGTGTAGTGTTGTAGACTTTGGTGCACATAGGATTTGCTTTACGACGCTGTTGAGAGTGGCCTTCCAACAATCTTACGACCTACGACGCAGTATTATGCAGAAATTAGACAAGGATGGAAGTATAGTGCCGTCTCGTGCCGTTTAATTTTTTCCAACCAAATTTATAATAGTGATTCTAGAATACTCATACAATGTATTGTAAAATGACATTTCAAAACGCCAAAACGAAGTGATATATACACAGTCTTTTACATTTTCTTGACAATTACCATCCATTTTTATTTTACCTCCAAAATAAGGAAATCGACAATAATTTTTTTAGCTGTTGAATATACCCTCTGTAGTGCATCGAATCTACATTATTGATATAAGTATTAAATTTGGGGACCATATTAACAGAACAATATAGGTAAATCTGAAAATACCAAAATACACGTTAAAATATAGATAGTAAATTTATTAAATAGTACACCGCCAATATTAACTTATACAAAAGGGGAGAATACAATGTAAAAACATAATTGGAATTTTTATTAGAATTTTACGAATAGAAATAATTTATTTTCTATGCTTTTTGAAAGCTTCCTAGATGATGTTAGTTATGTAATGTACAGGCATTTCATAGAATTAACAGAGTATAATAAGTATATACGGTAAGAATAACAAGTATCCCTTGTATAGATAAACGAGCCAAAAGTATTTCTACACAAATCCCCATAATAGATGTAAATGTAACAATTAAATTGACAAAATATAACATTAAAGTTGTATAAACCCAAAAACTACTAAAACAATCGCACAAAATTATTGGGTGACATTACCATCGTATATAGACTAGAAAAAAAATAACTCTTTAAAAGCCCGACCTACTGGGTATTAGTATTTTGTCACTTTGTTTCAAATTATTCAGAACTGTCCAAAAATTCGCGCGACCAAATACGCAGATTAATGAATAGACTGAACTATCGAAGCTGATTACAATCATTTACGTTTGTTTTATTCTATGTTACATTATTCTGTATCACTAAAGAAAATCTATTTTGTCTATGACTTTATTTGATTTTTTCACATATTTTGACTATGGTCAACGCTTCCAATATAAAATGGTATTTATATCTTATTTATAAAATCTGTGAATCTATTTTAGCTATTGAACTGTTGAGTCCTTTTTTTTTAAACTGTTTTTTTTATTTGAAAAAGTGGCAAAACACTAACATAGCAAAATAGATTTGTAATTGTTTGTTTTTATGAATATTTATTATATATCCAATAATTGGGGCCATATTATACACATATACAGCTATTTTATATATATATATGTTTAATATAACAAATATTTCTCGTCTCATATTCGATACATTTTGATCTGCCTAAAACATTGTGAACTGTGTTATATAAAACCTCTATGTTTTTGTTTTCCATAAAACATCCTTTGAAGCGAATGAAAATATCTTATAAGTATTTTTTAATGACATATTTAAAGAATTTTAAGTATATTATATTTGAAATTTAAATCTAAATTGTATATATATACATATTAATACAGTTATTGTTATATGTTTGTTTGCGTGTCTGTGTACAGGGCAATGTTATCTGGGGACTTTGTTTTATTAGTGTGAATATTGCTACAATGTCAGTGTACACAGGCCTTAAATTGTAATATTTTATATAACACGTACTATTATTATAGTATAGATCTCTAGTCGGTCTACATTCAATGCAACTTGCCGAGGTTACGACGAGTATGTGTATGTTATTTGTTTTGATGTAATTGATTAAATGTTATGAAAAAAAATGCATCTCTTTAATTTTATACTCTATTCATTTGAGCTGTTGCTGACGTACTGTCCACATACTTTTATACTTCATATTTACATTGTATTTTAAATTAAGAATATTATTATATTTTTTTGTAAACAGAACATTAAGTCTAATAAAGAACATGGACAGACAACAACTAGGCATTGAAGTATTATGACAAAACATGTATAGAGAAGACGCCGTCATTTTTCTATCCAATTGCGGCGTTAAGGCCTCAAATCAGTCACTGATACAAAAGCAGTCTGTAGTTACTGTGGCTAAACACTAATTTATGTAGTTACGTATTCTTATAACATAAATAACAGAAACATATGTTTCTATCTGGTTTAACCATATGGTCTCTCAGAGAAATTGAAAACTGGACTTGCTCCTACTAGACTTCTTATTACAATATATCTATTGCCTCAGTACAAATATCAACTTCAATCTTTTTATATTAACGATGTACGTTAAAGCTGGTTAAAGGTGTTTACAGCTGGAGATCTAGTCAAAATCTTATCTACTTTTTTATTCAAATCGTCTACCGCAAACAATCGTATACTACAGCATATCTAGTACATAAAAATATCAATGAAACAAGGTTAGTACCCAAAACAAGAGGGCCATATAAAACACAAGACTGCAACATTGCACATAATTTTATTCAATTGATCCTATTTATACATAGAGTGTGAGCATATTTAACTATTAACATAATTTAATCTAACATAAACCCAAGGTACTATTAAACACCCTTATTGACAATTATATTAATTTATACATATCACGCCGTTCATATAAAATGGCGTCAGTAGAGTCCATTTCGATAGGTATCCAGCACGTGATAGATACAGTATATATTGATAAATATACTATGTAAAGTCAACGAATCTGCTTATAGAAAAAATCGATTTTATATGACTGAAATGAAAAAGCCGACGCTCCACTTGGCGGAATGTGGGAAGCGTCGGCTATTATACGTAAACAGCATCTAAATAAACTTCAACAAAATGAATTTGTGATGTCTATAATATTGTTGCGTTGCCATTCTTGAGGCCTAAAATTTATCTTGGGACCCTTGAATTTCACTGGCATTCTAACCCTTGAAACCCTGTGTTTGACAGATAAATGATGGGTGCCTCTTTAATTTATTTTTACGCTTTCGCGTTTAGTAAACTTTATTAATAAAGTTAAACGGGTTTTAACACGAATAAATTTATGGTAAATAAAGGTATTTACCTTTCTCCACATTTCCACTAGGTTGCACTAGCTCGTAACCACGTTTAACTTCATTAATAACCGCTATAATTTTAATGCTAATTGCTATTGAAACCCTGAGTTTAATGGATGAGATTACGGCAGTTGCTTTGCAAACTGTTAAAGTAGCGGCAAGACATAGATAAGACAGACGAGAGAGAGAGAGAGAAGAGATTCAATAAAGGTGAAGTTATATCCAAAATATTGTGAAAATAATGATTGTCACAAATATCATATATTTGTTTCATTCATTCATTGACAATAGATAACTAAACGCTACGTTTTAAGAGTTCGCACTGCCCTTATAAGAATAAAATATAAATTGAAAATATGCAACTACCTGTATTGTTGAAATGTTATTCTAAAATAGTGCTTCCACCGTTTAACATAAGAATTGTTTTGTTCTGAGTGACGTGATCTTACTTATAAGGACGACACCATCAAAATCTTATATATAAAATTCTCGTGTCACAATGTTAGTTACAATACTCCTCCCAAACGGCTTGATCGATTTTTATGAAATTTTATATGCATATTCAGTAGATCTGATAATCGACTATCTATTTTTCATACCCCTAAGTGGTAAGGGATATCCACCCCTAAATATATATTTTTTTAATATTATTATTAGGATTTAAAAATACATACAACCTTAAATTTTTATCCTTCTGGCATCAACCCCTATTTTTAATAGCGATTTTAATTTATATGGCAAAACAACGTTTTCCGGGACAGCTAGTTAATCTATACAACCGATTATACAGTGCTAAAACAAGTGGATGCATACTTTCAAATAATATTTTATTCTAAATGATTGTGTCATTTGATTGCTAGAGATTCCTTGACATCACATACACAGGTGAATCAGCTTGATGACGTTTTTGCATTTGTAGTAGTGGAATACAGTCAATACTACTGGAATAGCTGCCTTTACATGTGGTACGTTACCCGCAGGAAATAATGTGTATGTAAATGTAGACAAAGAGAAGGTAGACCACGCGCGGCCAGTGAGCGCACACTCGTTTTACAATAGTGTGTGCTTTAGCGTCTTTTATTAATAATTAATTACCATTTCAACATGGCCGTCATATAACTATGGAGCAAAACATAATTACACAGTTCTTGCTCAATTATAAACCGATGACGTCCTCGGTGGTCTAGTGCTGTAGCACACCGCCTTACTTCCCGGTCGTGCAGGTTCAATTCCTCCCACGGCACAAAGATTTGTATATGATTGTCTGTATCAGTCTGGATGTTTTCTATGTATAATATGTATGTATTTACGAAAAAATATATATGTATTTGTATCAGTAATCCAGTGCCCATAACACAAGCTTTAGCTAGCTTAACTTGGGTCCAGATGGCGCTGTGAATTGTCCTGAGATTATTATTATTACAAGTTAAATTACATTAATCATACACGCAAAAACGCGCGATAGAGTGAACAAAATAAAATTAAATGAAATCTCTCAGGTCCGCGCGCGCTTGTTCGCGCGTCAAAGAACGTGTCGTGTAAAGGCAGATAATAAACAAGTTTACGTTGGGTAACACGTGCATCGCACGTGTCAGGCACTTATAAGTAGCTTTAGAAGTTTGACGCCATTTTGTTTTTTTTTCTGATATTATTACAAGTTAAATTACATTAATCATACACGCAAACACGGTCGATAGAGGGAACAAAATAAAATTAAATGAAATCTCTCAGGTCCACGCACGTTGGTTTTCCCGCGAGAAATCGCGCGCACTCCTATTCGCGCGTCAAAGAACGTGTCGTGTAAATCAGATAATAAACAAGTTTACGTTGGCTAACACGTGCATCGCACGTGTCAGGCACTTGTAGTAGCGTTAGAGGTTTGACGCCATTTTGTTTTTTTTTCTGATATTATTACAAGTTAAATTACATTAATCATACACGCAAACACGCTTGATAGAGTGAACAAAATAAAATTAAATGAAATCTCTCAGGTCCACGCACGTTGGTTTTCCCGCGAGAAATCGCGCGCGCTCCTATTCGCGCGTCAAAGAACGTGTCGTGTAAAGGCAGATAATAAACAAGTTTACGTTGGGTAACACGTGCATCGCACGTGTCAGGCACTTGTAAGTAGCGATAGAAGTTTGACGCCATTTTGTTTTTTTTTCTGATTTATCATTAATTGGTAGTTTGTTTTTATTCTAGTAGTTGAAAAATTTATCACTGACCGTAAACTACTACAAACGCAAAAACGTCTCCAAGTCGTTTTACCTGTAGCAATATATACTGTATCTATCACGTGCAATTTGATTTCATATTGAAAGAAGCTGTTAAATTCCTAGATACGAACATAAAGTGAAGGTACAGAATAGCACGAATACGATAAGTAGAATGGCAACCCAGGCAGGTACAGTACCTGTGGACAAAACACGCCACTGTTAAGGAGCTATTACACTATAATAATATAAAATCATTATACATATATTACTAAAATTATGATATTATATAGGATTATTTTTTGTCGTTCGAAGAAAATGTATATCTTATATATAAAATTCTCGCTTCGCAATGTTAGTTACCATACTTCTCCGAAACGGCTTGACCGACTTTTATGAGATTTTATATGCATATTCAGTAGATCTGAGGATCGGCTACTATCTATTTTTCATAGCCCAAAGGGATAAGGGTTGTCCCCCCTAACATATTTTTAGATCAATAATTTTTATTAATATTTTATAACGGGGCATTAAAAAATATACACAACCCTTTTTTCATATATTATTATAATACATACGAACCAAATTTTCACCTTTTCTTACTCCAGCACCGTCACGAACATTATGTATAGTGGTACTCACTTCTGCAAGGCAGGCTGTGCACACAGACGCAGTTGTCCACCGAGATGGATAGTAGAGCGGCCTCGCTGCGGCTCGTGATGGGTGGCCCGTAGCCCCGCACCGGCAGGAACTCCAGCCCCGTCACGAACATCATGTGCGCGTTCTTCACGTGTAGCACCCGCTGTATATACATACACAATATTTTACCATAAAGATCACAATAAACAATAAATAACAATAATTACTCCTGATATAATAATAATATAACATTTCAGGACAATTCACACAGCGCCATCTAGTCCCAAGCAGAGCTTGTGTTATGGGTACTAGACAAGTGATATTAAACCCCGATACAAACAATCATACCCATGAATATAAATGTTTGTGCCGTGCGAAGAATCAACGCGACCATCGGACATAAAGCATGTCATATGCAGCATATGCTGAGTATGGGCTATATTGTATTATGTAGTTTCATTGGTACGTAATTTTTTTTAAATTTTGATGTTATTAATTGACGTACTGCTTACGTACTTTACACCTTTACCTTAAGGGCACCGCTAGGGCTTCGAACCTTGGCTCAAGCCGTAGTAACCCCTAATGTGGATCTCTATTTAAATTTGACGGGGGATGTTGGCTTAAACCAGTGATTCCCAAAGTGGTCTATCGACCCCCAAGTGTCTATGACAAACTGCAAGGTGCCTACGACAGCGGTCATCTTGTAGTTTTTACTTTATGTTTTTAAAACTAAACTTTACTACAGTTAGAAATTTCCAAAAAATCAATACCAGGTAAGAAATGGGGGGTCTACCCAAAACCGAAAAATGGCAAGGGGTCTACGACACAAAAAAGTTTGGGAACCTCTAGCTTAAACCGTTGTAATTTCGATCCCTGTTTGAATTTGACGGGGGATCGATCGCAGGTGGTCTGAAATGTGTCGGACTGACCTGTAGACTGAAGGCTATGTATATGTGCACGGAGCCGCTGAACATGGTCCCGACGGCGACGTAGCGCCCGTCGTCGCGCACGGCGAGCGCGGCCAGCGACTCGGGCAGCAGCACGCCTCGCACCAGCGCGCCAGCCTCCCACGACTGCAGCAGGCCGCGCTGCGCGCCCGACCGCGCCAGTGGGTTCGCGATCGTGAACATCCTGTATGCGTCCTTCTTGTCCTCTATTAAGCCGAACCTGAACAAACAATCGTATATACGTGCATTATTATACATGTTACGTGCGTTATTATGACACATGAAGCGGAATTTCAGCCCGAGTCGATGTTTCAAAAAAATATTTTTTTGTCTGCTTGTTTGTCTCGGCTAATCTTTGAAATGGCTGGACCGATTTTGACGGGACTTTTATTGGCAGGTAGCTGATTTAATAAGGAGTAACTTAGACTACCTTTATTTCAGAAAAATAAAGTTAAATTCCACGCGGACGAAGTCGCGGGAACAGCTAGTATAAAATAAAACTACAACACCTATGATATTAATAAATATACACAGGAGAACGTCCCACCGTCTCAATCAATCAAATTAGAATATCATTATTTATGTAGATCTGTAACATATACATACATATACACTCTTATGATATATCAAATCTGGCAACACTATGGGTTATTTTTGAGCTAAGAAGAAAAAACTCAGCTTTTATTCTTTTCAAATAAGCTTAATGAATTACAAATGCGAAAATTTGTAAGGATGGATGTTTGTTACTCTTTCAAGTAGAAACTACTCGATAGATTTTAATGAAACTTTACAATAATATAGCTTACACATCAGAGGCTCATAGGCTATTATTTAAAAAGGTATTATGGACGAAATTAAATGATAAATGTCAAGTAAGTGTTATGCAGACGAAGAATCTGCTAGTAAAATTATTACATAGTATAAAATAAAGTCGCTGTCGCTGACTGTCCCTATATGTTTAAAACTTTAAAACTACGCAACGGATTTTGAAACGATTTTTTTAAATAGATAGAGTTATTCTAGAGGACGGTTTATATATATAATAAGTATATATAAACCGTACTCTAACCCGGGCGAATAGCTAGTTTATAATATAAAAGATACGAACCTACACCTCCTAAACAAATATTTGTTCCCGTTCGGAGGTTGACACGTGAGTTTGAGTAGCGGCGGCTTTTTACTGGCTGTGGACCACACGCAGGCAAATCCATCCTTAGCTATACTAACTAGCTGTGTGTCACACGGACTGAAATCCAAGTCGTCTAACTGGAATTAAAAAATATATATCGAATATAGGTATTTCTTTATTTTAGGCTACTAGGCCCATATTATAGATACCTTATAGACTGACATACATATGAAATCTTATATATAAAATTCTCGTGTCACAGTTTTCGTTCCCATACTCCTCCGAAACGGCTTGACCGATTCTCATGAAATTTTGTAAGCGTATTGAGGTCTGAGAATCGGCCAATATCTATTTTTCATCCCCCTAAATGTTAGGGGTAGTCCAGCCCAAATTTTTTTTTTTATTTTTTAGACAAAATTTTTAGTTGCTATTTTTTTAAGATACAACATACAAAAATACATACAATCCTAAATTTTCACCCTTCTATCGTCAACCCCTATTTTTTTATAGCGTTATTAATTTATATGGCAAAACAACGTTTGCCGGGACAGCTAGTAATATTATAAAATTAAGATATTGAACTTCTGTGTGGTCACGGCACTGCCACTGCTATGATAGCGTCGATACCCCACACCCTTCGGCCAGTAGTCTTCGTTCATGAAGCTGGTATTATTGGTATTTATTATTTTCATTTTAGTTGATGTCTCTTTCTAGGGTTCAATTTATATGTATTTTAATATTAATTAATATTACTGTACATGAGACGAATTTAGCATTCCATACATTCACCGTGCGGGTGCCGGCTCCATCGTGTGGCAGAGAGGGAAACTCCGAGCAGTTCCCGGGACTTGTATCCCGAGTTTAGGTTTTAGGGGCCCCTTTGCGTACGTAGGGTCGACAGTCATAATAGTTTTAAAATATAAACGTGTTGGCAATTAGCTCCAACTTTATATTGTGTTAATTAAATAAATAAATAAATAAAAATAAATATATAAATTCACCGCTCGTGTTTCTATCCCTATCCAGATAAATCTGGTAGAAGCCTGTTAGTGCAGCTTTAGATACACATTATAGTATAGAAACCACTACTGTTCTAGATTGACCAAGATCTTTTAAAAGATTGTAGAGATATTTCGCAGGTATGCCTTTCATTCCCACTTGCACCACATACATAAAAAGTAATATGCGATACAAAATTGTGAATAGCTGTAAGTGGCTTATAAAATTACTATATAAAAACTTCGTATTGTACAAAATTATTACAGCTGTAACAATTCCATAAAAAATAAAGTAAAAAAAATCAAATATAATATTTGATTTGGATACTAAATTTCTAGTATATACAAATTTAAAGCTGCAAATATATATAATAACTAATAATATATATTTTTTATGCAATCTTAGGTTATGTACTTAGTTAAACGGTACATCACATATGTACATAAAACGGTGTATACTTGTCATATAAGAAATCGGTCAGTTCTAATAATATAAATTAATCTGCTAATTAGTTTTGATAATCAATGAATTTAAAATTATCAAAGTTAATGAATTCCTGCTAATGATAGTTTTCTTGTCGATGATAGTTTCTGTCAATACACTGGCCAAATAGAAACTAATAATTATGAAAGGTTGTAATCGAAAATTACGTAAAAAATAATATTACAGTAAAGTTCATTTAGACATTATTTAATAATTGTATAAATGGGATATTTAGCATACTTTTATTTTAAGTTTTTTTTTTGTTTTTGTGCTATTTAAAGAGGTCTTGAACAAAATGAGAAGTTCATAAGTGATATGCAGCGTTTTCCATGTGTTCCTATCGTTTGCCAATCGGAGTCACAGTGGGACGGCAATCGTTCTAAGATCATCAGACCAACTTTTGTAATGTCTTTCTTTTTTTCATTTTGTTTTATGGCAGGGAATCCACTCAGTTACAGTTATCGTCTAAATATTAAAAAGAGTTTAAAATTTATATATTGTCTGTGAGAGATTGTTAATTATTACTGGTTTTTGTTTAGCACATTTATGTTAAAAAATTAATTGTTGTTATTGTTTTATTTTTCTGTGGGCAATATATATTATTAATTTTATAGACAGTTAATACCTCTTTAGTGTGTCCATCTAATATATACAGCAGTTGCATCTGAGGAAAGCTCCATACCCTCACTTTCCCATCCATACCACCAGTAGCCATCTGTTTGCCGCTGTGACTCACTCTTACTACTCGCTGGAGGGGGTCATCTCTGTCAACAATTATTTACAGATTAAAAATATATTATCTTCTAATTATTTTATTCTTGTATGGAGATTTTAGAGTAAAAAGACAGAAAAAGGTGGGCTGATTGATATAATGAATAATGCAGGAAAAGATTGGATGCAAATGGCTATGGATAGAGAGATTTAGTAGAGGATGGAAGAGGATTTTACCTGAAGGGGCCACACAATGAAGAAAAATGAACCATAAATATAAAAAATGCATATTAATTAAATATGTGTTATGTGGAAATATATATGCCTATATCTTTTGTGCTATAATAAAAATAATGGAGGATTATTTATATATACTTCTTGTGTATGTAGGAATATCCTGCAGGAATTGAACAAAGTAACATGGTTTGTAAATAAAATCAAAAATAAATAAAATATAGTTTATTAATACAGAACATCATAGCCCTTATGAACATCAAGTTTTTTGTATTCATATTTTTCCCTAACATCCAGTTATATATTACATACAGCATTCAGTTCAGTATGTAGACTTAAAATAAAGTTTTATATGGTCTGATATAGTGGAAGAAAAGGTTAAACAGTGTTCTGAATAAAAACAACTTTTTTATACACACAAAATAACTCAAATAAAAGGTTACTGGTTAGGATTATAATTACCCTATGCATGAGAGGATTTATGAATATGAAGGAAGCAAGATTTGTTAGTTACAACAACACACATAAGTATATTTTACATATATGACATACTTATGAGTATATTGTACTAGCTGTAATAGCTTTATTAGAATCCATTTAATACTATCAAAATGAGAATGATACCTTTGTTCATTTATTTTTTGGATACAATATATTGCGTTATCGTAAGTAACATTTATATAATAAATATATTTTATAAAAGAAGTTTGAATACATACATGCTAATTCACAGTAATGTATTCGTAATTATTTACACTTACCCAAAGTCTGTTTGCACACTATCAATCGGCCGAATTTCAAAGGATATCCGTTTCTCTGTGGTATTACTATTAGTGTCCTTCTTCGATATGTTGTCGTTTTCGGAAACCGTGCGCCGCCGGCGGCGGACGAGACCGTTTTCAGCACGAAAACTGCCCCGCCGCATCTCGGCCGCGTCCACCATGCGAATGTTCACTTTATATAGCTGGCAATGGCTTTCCTGCCCCGCTGCCAGGTAGGTTCTGTTCTGGGTACTATTCACGGAGCATGTCATAACTACATTCGGCCCAGTTTCATGCCTCATCACCTCTTCTGCCACAAATCTGGTACCATTGTGCGAAATCTCAAATATCTCCTAAAAAATATACAGCCAAGTTAACAAGTAATATTTTAGCAACATATTGACCGTATAAGCTCATTTACATGAACCATAATTACAGCGTAAAGTGAATGACACGTACACGACATAGCTGTGTTTAAAAGAATGTAAACTATTAATTATTTCATTGAACACTCACAAAACCATTAGCGACTCCTGTGTTGGAGGCTCCACCGCCTCCAGCCACGAGCACATGACGATTGGTAAGTGTTTGCAGTGTGTACAAAGGAAAATCCACTCGAGCTAGGAGCCCGTCGCATCTGTTACGGGACATTTTGGCTTATAACATTTAATTAACCTAGCCAACACACTTGAAACACTATCTTGCTCTCTTAGTCGGCCACATGAGTTCGTCTTAGCGAACAAATTAACGACAATGTGTTTTAATATTTAATAAATAACACAATTTCATATATTAAAGTTTGAAGGATTTCTCATAGTTCCAACATGACAAAAGTCAATTTGACATTTGACACCACTTGACAGCTGTTTGTTGGGTACATAATGAAGCACCAAAAACAATAAATTTATCGATATTATGAATGGAATATCCATATTGACATGATATGTGGAATACTATTTTTACTCTAAATTGTACAGCAATTATTAAGTTAAATAAATTATTTTGTTAGTAGTTAAAGCCACAGAACTACTCAACAATAGGCAACACGGTAAGCATTTTATTTTCACAGTACCCCCATTCTCATTTGGGGAAGGTTAGGGGATTGTTAGTATTGGTGGTATTGGGGACTAGTGTTAGGATCAAACTTTATCTTCACTCTCGACGACATACTCAAGCTCTGTTTATTTGTACATATATTTATTACTAGCTGTACCCGCGACTTCGTCCGCGTGGAATTTAACTTTATTTTTCTAAAATAGATATTTTCTAAGATAAAAGTAGCCTAAGTTACTCTTTATTACATCAACTACCAGGCAAAAAAGTCCTGTCAAAATCGGTTCAGCAATTTCAGAGATTAGCCGGAACAAACAGACAGACAGACAAAAATTGTTTTATTTATTTATATGTATAGATTTGTTCAAACTGTAACTAATTCAATTCTTTTTAGGGGGCACAGAAGGTAGTGAAGAGAAAGGCTACTTAACACTATCTGGACTGAATAGACACCAAGTAACTTAGGGATTTCGAGTTGGTACAAGGAAAATGTGTAAGCATAATGTACTGCAGTATCGCCGCGCCGTATCGCCTATATAGATAGAAACTGCAGCATTCAGGAGGCAAGGAGAATAAAACGTAAACCAGTAGTTGTTTTTATTTAAATAAATATATTTTATTATCAACGTCATTACACTCAAATTATCTTCTATTTAGAACAATGACAAATTAAAACAAAATTGTTCACGTTAAGTGAATCTCACAATACACACATTGCGGCAATCAAAATTAACAAAAACTTCTTTTAGTATATCGAACAAAAACATAAGAAAAAAGGTTGGATAATTTTTATTAAAAATTATTTTAATTGGAAGTAAGTTTGTATGCGTTTAATTAGTACTCCTAAGGTGATATTTAAAATAAAAGGTACTGAAACGAGTCGAAATACAAACGAAGCACATATAAGCAAGTACAGTATACAAGCATTTTTTACATTATTATAAACTTCAAGAATACAAATCACAACTATTATAATAGCTTAGTATAATATAAATAATAACTTATTAAAAAAAATAGAAACATGGCAATTTAGTTTTTTATCTGTGCCTTTAAATTCAGTGAAAAAAAAGACAATATTGTACATATAATTGTTCTTCTTTATAAAATAGGAAACAACAATTGGGACCTAAATTGCTAAATATAACATACTAGCTACTCGCCACGGCTTCGCACGGGTGTACATGTATTATATATATAAACCTACCTCTTGAATCACTGTATCTATTAAAAAAAACCGCTTCAAAATCCGTTACGTAGTTTTAAATATTTAAGCATACACAAGCACGAACAGACAGCGACCGTGACTTTGTTTTATACTATGTAATGATTCTTTAAAGCAAACATAAAATTTATTCCTTTAAATGTTTTATTTTATGTTCTCATGGAATTTATTATTACGCGTATATCAACTATCTACATTTTCTTACTACAACTACTTAGTAATAGTGTGTAAATATATACAGGACTTATTGTGCTAAGTCTGGTTTAATGGTGATACAAAAAAATTGCGATCCAAAAGTACCTATTGTATTTGAATAAACATTATTTCTATTTCACCATTGTCAACAATATAAGTGTAATAAAAAAATTTTTGTATGTCTATTGCAAACTACTCTATACATATTTACTTTTTGTCTATGTTTTCTATATTGTTTTCCTTTAGATCTATCATATATTGTTACTAATTGTTAGTAAGAGAGATTGCCAAAAACGGTACAATATTATTGTTCGTTTACTTTAATATCATTCATATACAACAAATTTTGTGAACAAATTTTTATTGGTATTTACAAGGCTTTGGTCGTTTTATTACGGTAGAACTAATTATATTATATAGTTATAGGTAAGAAAGTTTTGTCTCTATTTTACACGCCTTTCTTCGTTTGCAAGAAATTACTAATAGCCCAAGAGCCCACGACTGCCAGACATACGTCATTTTAGTAAACGTGAAAGTTCTTGTATGTGTGTCCCCAACACAGGTAAGAACGATCCCCAAACATGAAACCTGGATCGTGGTTCCTTTGGCAGGTACCAGGTAACAAAGGTGTATAAAAAAAATCATATCAAATTTTTATATATTTTAAGAAACTGAGTAAAGTTTTCTTGGTTCCATTGCCAGACAGTTTTCTTGGTTCATATATTGTTCGTAGCATTATTATAACTTGCGCTGCTCATTGCCAGACACTTAGTGTGGTTCCAGCCCCCCGCCGGACCCCCCGACAGCTATACGATTTTTATAAATAAACTTACGTCATTTTAATAACGCTGAACTTTATATGAAAATATGGAGTTTCTTAAAATAACGAATTTGATATGATTTTTTTACACCTTTGTTACCTGGTACCTGCCAAAGGAACCACGATCCAGGTTTTATGTTTGGGGATCGTTCTTACCTGTGTTGGGGACACACATACAAGAACTTTCACGTTTACTAAAATGACGTATGTCTGGCCGTCGTGGGCTCTTGCTCTATAAATAAATAGTGTAGATTTTAAGTTTCATGAATAGACCGGCGGAAATAATCCAATAGAAAATAAACTTCTCTTCGAAATTCGTAAAAGTAGATATATAAACAATAAATAATAAGAATCACCCAGAACAATCCAGCCAACGCCATCTAGTCTCAAAATAAGCAAAACTCGTACTATGAGTACTAGAAATGAAACCTTAAGTTACATTTGTCAATAAATACGTAACAAACACGAATATAAACAATCATACTTATAAATACAAATGCTTATATTATGCGAGAATTGAACCCGCGACTATCGGCAAGTAAAGCGGCGCACTCGTCATCTGCTTCTTCCTCATACCATTCCTTTAGGAGTAATATGTTTGTATTCCATTCGTCCGCGTTCGCAGTCATCTCGGCCTTCTGTCTTATAACCATACATATTCACAGGGACGGATCGTGAATTTGTGTGGCCCTGGACTAAATCTATTAGGGACCTAACTAATTACATTACTCAACTAAAAAAAAACACTGACCAAAAACAAGCGACCTAAAATTACCCGTTCCTTTCGATAGACGCGCACTTGCATGTATTGATTGATCTCAGGGTTGCCAACCTAATAATAAGTTTTTAATATTCTAGATATTTTTTGGTATTCTAAATATCGTGTCAGTGGGGACTGGGGTCCCTTTGTATCCTCGGGGCCCTGGGCTGCTGCCCAAAAGGCCCTTAGGTAGATCCGCCCCTGCATATTGATATATAATACTTTCTTCAAAATATGCTCTTCATTCCTACGCATTACACGCCCATACTAAGACAGACGATTACTCTTCAACTTCTCCAACACTGGCGCTTCCGATCTTCCTCTAATGCATTCCTTAGAGGAAGGGATTGTTAGTAATGGGTACTATTGACTTCATCGCTAGCAATGACCATGTCAGATTGACTTCCACTAGGTTCCCCCTGGAAACTCTGTGAATTCACAGTGGGCTAACTGATCTGACTTCGTTTTCATCTTATCAGCCTCCACTGGTGCCTCGGCAGCCTAAACCGTTAGAGCAGAAAGGTGCACCATTCCATTGTCATATGTTAAAGAAGTATTCATTCTTTTTCTTGTCCATTCTTGTTACACCACACATCCATTTCAACATTCACATTTCAGTTGCATGCAGTCGTCTTTCATGCGTCGCCTTTAAGCTCGCCCAAGGCCCAATTTCACCAAGAAAACTAATCGCATTTAGTTCGAACTAAACTCAATTAAAACGTTTAACCGAGTTTAAAGCTTCATTTTGCATTTCACTGTTACAATTTAAACTTAGTTTTCGATAAACTCGTTTACAAATTATGAAATGTCACTTGTCAAATAGTCATCAATAAAATTTTTCATCAATAAAAATTTTGATCGGGAATAAAAACAATTGGCAGTAGTGTAAAAAACAATCCTCAATAAAATAGTGTTTACTTATTCACTATCTTGTTTACACCAAAGGTTGCTATATATTTGTAGTCAACAGTACTTATTAAATTAAAAACTAAAAACCTTATCCTATGTATCACAAGATTAAATTTCAAATCCATCCGTCATACCCGTGAACAGGTGCTGCTTATAGGGACTGGTCTGCTCTAATCACTACGACAGATTTCCTCTTATTAGTTGTTTAACCAGTTGGTTATATATTCAATATTTTTTCTATTTGAGTATTTAATTCAATTAGTGCTAATTGGTGTTATTACACACTTAAACTTAAAAATGTAAAGTAATAATAAAATTATTTAAAAGAGCAACACGCAAGTTTCTTGCTCGTTCTTCTTGTGATGAGACAGCTTTCCGAATGAGCGGTAGATAAAAAAAATGTAATGACTATTCAAAAGTGCTTCAATGTAAGTTTATTTGTATAAATGATTTTCTATTCTTTCTATTCTAAATATTTCTTAAAATTAATTTAATTAAATTATCCATTGCATCAAATATTATTTTATCAGTGTTTAACACTGTGATCGAATGAAAATCTAAACTTGGTTTTGGTAAACGCGATGTATATAATGTTGGTGAATTCCATTTAAAGTAAAACGAAATCAGCATCGATCTTTAAACTAGTTTACGCTGAAATTAGTTTCCTTGAACTTAGTTTATACTGCGTATGGTGAAATCCAGCCTAAGGCATACTAAAGCTCTATAATGCCGAGGTCGTCATAACAGGGTTCAAACGTGTGTTAGTATGTGAATATAATGGAGCGTATGAGGGCGTCCCGGACGGAGTCGCTGCTTTGTCCGATGCCGAAGTTGAAGAACACCCCATCGGTCTCCACTTGCTGTGCACACGTGCCCGTGGGGTACCAGCCCACCTTGTTGAACACTATCCCCACTTTGTACACCTGTAACATAACAAACATTTTTATAATATCAACCCTATTTCTTATTGATGATAATGGAATGCTGCACCCGTTTGCGCTAACGGTTTACGCTGGCGGGGCACCAGTGGAGGTTAAGATGAATATGAGGTCAGGTCAGCTAGCCCATTTCGGCAAATTCCCCATGAATTTATCACGATGGTTTCCAGGGGAACTACGTTCTGGTCAACCTGACATAGTGCAATACTAGCAATGTGGTTATTAGTCCACATATTGTAATTAACAATCCTCTTACCCCCACCCCATTGCTAGCAATATACCATGATAGATTTACATCCACGCGGTTTCCCCTAGAAACCATCGTGACAAATTCCTGGTGAATTGGCAATTTTGTCTACTGACTCGACCTCATACTTGTCTTTTTTGCAGGAAAGCACAGTAAATATATATTGATTATATAGGTATTTTAATTTATATAGATATTAAAATTATGTAATTAAATTATATAATTTATATAATATATTAATTATTTATATGATTACATTGTATATTACATAATCGTGATGCGCCAGAATTTAGCCCGCAAAGTTTTTACGAAAGTATTAAATAATTATATACAAACTAACAGCGCCCGCGGTTTCATTCGCGTGAAATGTATATTTAAAAAAGATATTATGTAAATTGGTCGAAATATAATAATATCAAGTGTGATGCAGACGAAGTTGTGCGGGTCAGCTAGTGTAGGTATATTGTATTGTATTGTATTGTATGTTGGACTCCAGTCTCCGCTATTAGCCTCTCATTCGGGCCGTTGTGCGTGCAGAGCCAGACTACTAAAGTAGCCAGCCAAGCTCCTCCCAAAAGCGCAGAAGACTCCTGATATCTTCACGGAGCGACCTCACCTAGTGTAGGTATATGTTGCGTGCGAAATTTAATGGTAAAAGTCAAGTTAGTGTGATGCAGACGAAGTCGAGCGGATCTGCTATATATAAAATCCGTTCTAGCTACATAGAAATGTATGACCTACCTTATTCCGCTGTATATAGATGGGCCTGTTGAACATGATGTCGAGGAGGTGCCTGTAGGGCACGCGGCTGGTGTAGTGCGTGTACGTGAGCCGCGCGCCGTCCGCGTCCAGCAGGTGCGCGTACAGCAGCTCGCTGTAGCCGTCCCCCGCCGCGCCCCCCGCGCCCCCGCCGCCCCCCGCCCCCGCCCCCGCCATCCCCGCCGCCACCCCCGCCGCGCCCGCGCCCCCCGCACCACCAGACAGCGGCAGCGAGCTTTCCACGCTTGGCGCTTGGGTGGGTACCTAATAAATTAACAGGTAATCAATTTGTGCAATGTTTCAGAATTTAGATACTACTAGCGCCCGACCCCCCGTCCCCGCTTCCGACCCTGCGACCCCATGCCCCGCTTCTACACTACACTAATAAAAGCTTACGTAACAATAACAAACTGATTTTACCTAAACGTCGTTTAACTAAAGTTAGTAATTCGTTTTATGGCAATTTGCGTAAGTTTTTACAACAAAATACCAGAGTTTGTTATAAATCTGCCTGAAAAAAGATTTAAATGTCATATAAAACACTTCCTTTGCAAAAAATATTACTATAAAATTGATGAATTCGTTAACGATAATAATGTTTTTATAGAAAAACTTAAAATCCATAGCACTGACAATATTATCTGATTACATTAATAATGAATGTGTAGCGATTTCTACGTAGATTATCGCATCGCGATTACGTCTTACTTGTTATACTGTAATTATTTATATAAAAAAAACATCTATTCAAAAGAGCAACACACAAGTTTCTTGCTCATTCTTCTTCTGATGAATCTGCATTCCGAATGAGTGGTAGAATCAAAATATGACTATTCAAAATTCAAAAGTTCTTGTAATGAGTTTATTTGAATAAAGATTATTTTTATTTCTATTTCCAGCCTAAGAGGGAAAGAAACTATGTTAGAAGCTATAGGAAAAGATGGCTACGATTTCTTCGTTTTAACGAGTTTTTCGTATTCGCCTTTCGTTGTTCATAAGAATCAATGTTAAATATACCTTTACATTACAAAATTTTTCCGATTCGATTGTTATATGGAGGTTGCACTGTACCTAGCCAGCCATAAGTTCTGTTACAAATGAAAATGGATCTTTTTTTAAATAAAGTAATGTAATATTAACAACAATATTAAATTTATACCTACATATTTATGAAATTCTCAGCAAAAAATAAAAAAATATTCAAGTCGAAATGACCATGAACACGAAAAAATATGTGAAATGGCGCAAAATCTAAAGAAATTTTTAAAAGAATATATGTGTTCTAAATTCGAAATAATTAAATTAAAAATTTTGTAAAAAATAACTAATTACATACCTGTACCACAGATAATATAATATTACATACCTGTACTAAGACGAATGCATAGTCCCTTCAAATTGTTATATGGAGGTAGGAATGCACTCACTTGTACTCCCAGCAAACAGATGCTCCTGTCCACCATGAAGGTGACGCAGCAGTCGAGCACGCTGGTGTTGTAGCAGTCGGTGTGCTGTATGATGGCGCGCGTGCAGTACAGCTTGGTGAGGTCGAGCCGCGCCGGGTCGGGTAGAACCACCGGCGCAGCCTGCCCGTACGAACCTATGCGGATCCCTAGACCATACAAAAGCTATGACCAATAACACAGCGCCATGAAGACACAAAGTAAACAGTGCTTGTACTATGCCCTGTTTTTTTTTTATCTCGGACACACACACGCACAAGTTATATAATAAAACGACGACCTCGGTGGTCTAGCACACCGCTTTACGTCCGATGGTCGCGGGTTCGATTCCTCGCACGGCACAAACAATTTGTATTCATGAGTATGATTGTTTGTATCGGTCTGGGCGTTCTCTATGTATAATATGTATGTATTTACGAAAAAAATATCTATGTATTTGTATCAGTTGTACCATAACACTAGCTTTACCTAGCTTAACTTGGGTCTAGATAGTGTTGTGTGAATTGTCCTGAGATTAATATTATTATAGTAAAAAAAAACTACGACAAGTCACAGCGCCATCTATATATAGTCTGTTTTTTAATTGACAAACAAATTTAAAATTAATTATGTTGCAATTTTTGAAATTTTTAAATAGTGTTGTAGCATTACCGGAATTTAATATTATTTACCTATTTTTAATTAATTTATTTATTATTTTGTACATTTAATTATATACATGGCGTACTTAATGCCAGATGGCATTCTCTACCATTCAACCGGCGCGTTGATCAAAGATAGCGGTGCATTTTAATAAGTAGATAATATTGCTATATAAAATAGATTAATACATAAAAATAATACATGTATATGCAAATATATAAACGTACTGATATATTAATATTAAACTATAATAAATATACATATAATCTCATGGTATATATCTTAAAACGGTGGTTTGACTGAATATGGTACAGAAATTTTTATATGGGGAATTTTTATGTTATTTAGAAATAATGTGTGGGTGTATATTTAAAACTAAATAACTTGCCTTCGTGTCTCGTAGGTCTGGGGTAGTGCATAGCAGCGGTGGCAACACTGAAGGGGTTGGCGGGTCGAGACACATCAAACACGAGGTCCAGCGGCACCGGGCTGGGCGTATCCACACTGAACGACTGCACGCGGCAGCCGGGCGCCAGAGATTCCTCGCGCTGCACATTACAACAAATTAATATCTTAATAATATTATAAATGCGAAAGTTTGTAAGTATGGATGTTTGTTACTCTTTCACGCAAAAACTACTGAACGGATTTTGATGAAACTTTCCAATAATATAGCTTATGTATCAGAATAACACACAGGCTACAAATTTCGAGCGGGTGAAACCGCGGCTAATTTAAAAAGATATTATGTAAATTGGACGAAATATAATATCAAGTAAGTGTAATGCAGACGAAGTTGCGCGGGTCAGCTAGTAAATATATAAATAAAAAAAAAGTATCTCACACTAGTAGCAGAACCACCGCCGATCAGCTGTTTCCTTGGTACCCTGCACGTGGAGAAACCCTGGGGCATTGATATATCGCAATTACTCGACAAGATGTTCATTAGTACTGCGAACGACTCCGAGTCTGTTAGCAGAGAAGACCGCGCCGGTCCCTCCGCGAACTGTTGTGGAGTCAACGTCAAGAAACGAATCTTTTCCACAGCATTCCGTACCGTCAGTTTATCTTTATTGTCTGTAATTATAGAATACACAAACTATTTTGTAAACAAAGCACATTTGAAATGATGAATGAATGAATAAGAGCTGAGCTGAGTGAGTGAATGAGTGAGTGAGTGAATGAGTGAGTAAGTGAATAAGAGCTGAGTTTCTTGTCAGTTCATTGTAGCTCACATTCGAGTTCAGAAGAACACGGTACGGTGACGGTAGTTTTTCATATATCATAGGAGTCTATAATAGACCTGTATAAGTAAAGATATTTTGATTTGATATATTTTTTAATGTAACCGAAAATGTTCAATAAGTGGATAAGTACAGGAAAATAAAAATAAACACAGTAAAAATAAATAAATATAAATAAGAATAAAAATACAACCCCGGATTCTTCAAGTCTATGGTGAATAGATATCTTCTGGGTAAGCGCGCTACATCCTATGTCTTGCCATCATTTACCATCACATGAGGTAAGACCAAGCGCAAACCCATTATTAATAAAAAAAAAACTATCACTCATTAATAAGGAAATAAAAGATATTTAAAATCTTGCCGTAAATTGTACGTCAGTTCAAAATGACATCGCCCATTCGATCCTGACCTGTCAGAAACATAAACTCTGAGCGTCCGGACTGTAGCTTCAATATATAAATTTAGACTGAATGTCTGGTCTTCTGCACCCCCCGAGGGAGGTGAAGGTTGGCCTCGGAGCGAACCCCTTTGTCCCGGCATCTACTCCGGGGGCAACAACCCCCTGGTGGCTAGATATAACAAAAACTACTTAAGGCTTACTACGCGTTGTGCCATACCTACTTGGGGACAGGTTTTTGTTTTTTTTTTATTATTTTTATATTTTTATTTTGTACCTCCATATATAGCACTTACAAACATTCCTAAGCTACTTGGTGTCCCTCTCGCCCCGCGCCCCCGCGTGTTCACGGGGGCTCGACCCCAGAGTGGGGGCATAGCAAATGGCTAACGCGGGGCGAGAGGGAAGAGAAGTTGAAAGGAAGAGAAAATTGATAGGAAAAAGAGGAAGAAGGGGAAACGGACGGTGGTGGGCGACGTCATAAATTTAGAGTAATAATTTGACTAATTTGTAATGTCACGGATTATTGGTGGCGCCACTGTCGTGGTGCCACTAATACATATAGGGTATTAAAATGGAAAGCAGAGTCCTTCTTTCTGTTCGAGGCAACCGACACGACCACACGTGGAATGCAGGAATGCAGGGACGCAATTTATATGGAGTGTAATTTGAAAGCGAAAGTAATATCAAGTACCACTGCATCGACATATCATTTCTGATACTTCCCAATAATAATAACAAAAAAATCTATCTTAAAATACATACCTTCTTTATTCTTCTTGCTTTCCTCAGGGGTCTCAGATGAGTCACTGGGCACAGGTGTATCACTGGACTTGCATGGCTCGGGGACTGCCTCTGGACTGTTTTCAGCACTACTCTCAACATTCACTACCTAAAAATACACATCTTGTGTATTCATATAAAAAAAAAACATACTGTATAATAAATTTTATATGAAATAGTTACTATTGTGTTTCTGCCAATACATTTTTGTGAAAATGCTTCTGGCATATGACGATAATTACTTATTATAGTATGTTTTCCATCCATAGGACTAAGATATCATGCCTCTTACACTGTATTACTCACTTTCTCTGTCGAAGTTGATGGGACAGGGCTCTTTGGCCTTTTCTCAGATGGTGGGCCATATTCTGCAGGAGAGGCTGTGTTTCTTTCCATATTTCGTTTCTGTGCCTTTGAATACCGTACCGCCGCTTCAAACAAGTCCAGTTCACTGTCAACATTGAGGTGGTCCAGAGAGAACACTGTAACAACGGTACTCAGGTCCACCTCCTCGAAACTGCTATCTTTAAGCACCTCTTTTGTGTTGGTGCTGATTATCTGGAAATTGCAGAGGCAGGTAATAGTGTCAACATGAGCAATTTTTTTAATGGATCATTATACAATAGTGCTCCGAACTGTGCTACTGTTTATGCTGGCAGGGCACCAGTAAAAGTGACATGATGAGTAAATTCACCAGAAATCTACCATGATGGTTTCAGGGAGCACAAAAAAGAGCAGAAAAGATATGAATTGACAAGAAATTTGGATTATTACAATTTCACATATCCAGCTCGAAGGACCGTATTGAGACTGAACACCGTAAAGAGTGGCCGCCGACCGGGTAATGACCGCGATGAGCTCAACGCCCCCGCATCTTCGAGCCCCGCCAGTCAAAAATTTACATAAATATTTTTAAAGAATAATCTTATTACAAACAGATTTAATCTTAAGAATGTCTAGGGTCCAAAAGTATTAATCCTCTAGGTCATTAGGTTCTCTTATTAAGTATAATGTTACAATAAATATTTCTTTATATTTATAATTTTGAATTTTATTTACAAACCTGTATACACTTTTCCATAAGAACATTTTCCTCAAAGAGACGAGCAAACTCATAGGCACGGCAGGCATTCTTCGGATACAGATCCGACCATAGATATGTTGTACATTCCTTGACAAGATGTGGCAACATGTACTTCTTGGCGCCATAGCACAACTCACATGCTTTATCAAATGAGCTTATATTTATATTTTCTGTATATATATACCTAAAAGTGCAGAAAATTTCACATGAAATATATATTTATTAAATGATAACATTTATAATATAATATGAACTGGACTCAATTTTCCATATTTGCACCAATATGTAGGGCCAAGTTAACTAAAATAGCTAAGCTCCTCTTATAAGAGGTCTACACAGGTTTCTTGGATCATACTCATTGTTTTGAGAATTTGTGTCAACTTGATATACTTAATAGAATAGAATAGAAATAATCTATATTCAAATAAACTTGATAGTCATCTATTTTTCTTATTCTAGCAGTGGTGTAGTTAGATAACCAAGGGCCCTAGGACAAATCAAAAATAGGGCCCCATTGCTCAGCAGTGAGACCCTACATTACAGTTTTATTAAAACGCACATACCGCTAACCTTCAAATTGACAATACTGCCAACCCACAGAAAGAATTTTAGGGAATTCTGAAGGTATAACTTTTGAATTTCTCTCACCTGAGTTGCCATGATTAAAGTCAGGTTGCAACCTGTTATATAATTTTGAAAATAGGAGAAATTTTCAAAACTTCAGTTCGATCCAGATTTTCAGGTAAGGGTTTGAGGGCCTCCTGAGCTTGAGGGCTCTGGGGCACTGCCCCGCCTAGCCACTAGGTAGCTACGCCACTATCTACCACTAATTGGGACAGACAGAACAATAATGAGCAAGAAACAGGCATATAGATGTTTCACATTTAAAGCTGTGGCTGCAGATTGTATATATCGTTCTAAAGCCTATATGCAATAGGTTATATTCTATTTTAAATGACTAACAGGTTTCAAAACTTACTCTAAAAGTGCTTTAAAAGCATCTGGTTGCACATCTAAAATGGGTATAGGATCATTCTTTTCCGCCATTCCACCGTAAAACATTGCTTCGAATACAGGTGATGCCATGGCTAGGATGAGCTTGTGCCCAGCAATAGTGACTTGGTTGGGCTCTGTGCCCACCAAGAAGGTGCAATCAGACCACTGGCCTGTCTCGAGAATATTAGCACCTCGCTGTTTCATCTCGACACATCCTAACTGCCAATCGTTAGGCACTCCTGCCATTCTCTCTAAAGAATTTACTCTCGGAGAATTATTAAAATAGACACTGCACTTTAATTATTTGTCTTTAAATTATATAATTATTGAAACTAATACCACCAAATATAAACAATAACAATGGGAATAGATAATTGTAATTCATGTCAACATGACGTGAGTAACGGTAAGCAAGATGTGTGTCAATCTGTCAATTATTACTCAGTATTCAGTTTGACACTTCCTAGACAGAGTATATTACTCAGTCTAAAAAGCAACATACATATACATACAGAGTCAGAGTCATGTAAACAATAACAATGTAGTAACGTCTGTGTGTTGAATCATTAATTAGAAATCTTGTTATGAAAAATGAATTACGATAAAATAAAAGAAGTGGCCCAGAAGAAATTTCGTACAGATGAATTGATTACATTCCTTTGCAATGCGAAAATACTCCATCCCGAATCGGTGAAGAAGAATAGGTTGCTGTGCATTGTAGAATATGGAGACGAGAAAGCCGTGTTTTGTTTATTTACGTCTAGTTACCCACCAAAATCCTTCACCGATTTGTCTATAGAAATAGTGCTGCCCATCGACACCAACTTTAAATGTGACATTGATAACAAACCATCAGACCCGGGTGCAATCTTGTACCTGAATTTGCAGTCAAATAGTAATAAATATAAATTCCAAATTCCAATGACCCCGCGCTGCAACAACTTTGTGGATGACCTCTTCAGAGGGATAGAAGCTGTAAGTATAATGCCAACGCAACCTGAGTTTGTATGGCTAGAAAAGTATGAAGATAACATTATTTCTCAATTGTTAGTTGTACCTACAGACGAAGCCCATTCACAGAGAAATTCACAGAGCTCCACTCCTGTAGCTATCAGAGAGAGTCTAATTAAACGAAAAATGTATCATAAGGAACTTGAATACACATATACTAAGACATTCACTGTGTTCTGTGGCACTTGGAATGTCAATGACAAATCACCAGTAATATCTCTGGAGGGGTGGCTCAATGTGGATGAAGAACCACCTGATATATATGCAGTGGGTTTTCAGGAACTTGATTTTTATCATTCATCTTTGATCAAACTGTTAGAGAAGAGGAATGGTCAAATGCTGTTGTACGTTACTTGAATATACAAGCTAAATATGTCATATTGGAGAAAGTTAGACTAATTGGTATGTTGCTGATGGTTCTTATCAAACAGAAACATAAAGCACATGTACATAATGTGGTTATGGACACAGTGGGAACAGGAATAATGGGCAAAATAGGAAACAAAGGTGGTGTGTCCATACGATTTGACCTTCATAACACATCTATATGCATTGTAAACTCTCACCTGGCTGCCCATGTAGAAGAGTATGAAAGACGAAATCAGGACTTCAGGGATATCTGCAATAGAACAAGATTTCAACAACTGAATCAACAGGCCAAAGCCATAAAAGACCATGACCAAATATACTGGATAGGTGATTTAAACTATCGCATTACTGAGATGGATCCAAACACTGTAAAGCAACTTATTAATGAAAATAATTTTGAGGCAGTCTTAAAATATGACCAACTAAAACAGCAACATAAGAACAATAGTGTGTTTGCTGGCTATACAGAGGGTCCAATTACTTTTAAACCTACATACAAATATGACCCTGGCACTGACAATTGGGATTCAAGTGAGAAAAATCGTGCCCCAGCATGGTGTGATAGGATATTTTGGAAAGGAGAAGGTATTACACAGAAAGCATATAGAAGCCATCCTAATTTGAATATAAGTGACCACAAGCCAGTATCTGCTATCTTCAACTCAATTATTAAGGTAATAGATGAGGAAAAATATAGTAAAGTATATAAAGATGTAATACAACAACTTGAAAATAAACTCATACCACAAGTAAAAGTTGATATGACTAAAATAGATTTTGGTACTGTGAAGTACCTTGAATTGCATATGAAGACCATCACAATAAAGAATATCGGAATAGCACCTGTGGAATTTGAATTCATTAAGAAATTAGATGAAGCAGGTTTCTGCAAAGAATGGCTCATTGTTGACCCTTATAAGAGATGTATTTATGCTGATGAGTCATGTGAAATCACATTTAAAGTACATATCAATAAGATTTCTGCTTACAAACTCAATGCTGGAACTGATGAATTGTATGATATTTTAGCTTTGCATTTATATGGAGGGAAGGATATCTTCATAACTGTGACTGGAACATATGAGAGGAGCTGTTTTGGGTGCTCAATAGAGGTTTTAGTCAACCTCAATATGCCTATAAAGGAGGTGCCTATTAAGCAACTAGTTGAATTAGAAAGCAAAAGGCACCAACCTGTATCAAGCCAATCCACATATTCAATACCCAAGGAGGTGTGGTCCTTAGTTAACCATATATATTTACATGGACTTAAACAGCCCAACTTATTTGAAAAACCTGGTCAGCATTCTGAACTTTTACAAATTAGAGACTGGCTAGATTCAGGCTCAATGGATCCTATTCCAGGATGTATACATTCAGTTGCTGTAGCTCTCCTGCTGCTTTTAGAAAGTACTGCAGATCCTATTATACCATATAATCTTCAGTCGGTGTGCTTGAGGGCATCTGCAAATTATTTACAATGCAGACAAATTGTCTCACATTTGCCTGATTTCAGGAAAAATATATTCTTATACTTGTGTGAATTTTTGAAAGTAGCATTGCAGCACGCTGCGGAAAATTGTTTAGATGCTGACACTTTGTCCTCACTTTTCGGCGCAGTATTCCTTCGGGATAATCCAAATCAAACACGAAAGTCCCAGTCTCGAATTAACAAACAGGTAATAGAAAAGAAGAAAGCCCAGTTTGTATATCACTTCTTAGTTAATGATCACAGTTAATTAATTTTTACTAGTAATTTCATATTTTAATTTATTAATCCAAATACTCACTACTCTTCTATTAGTATTAACCTTTACCATTTTTTGCTTGTAATTGCTGTTGTCATATGAATGTATAGCAATTTGTCTAGTTTACATTTACATAAATTGAGTCTCAATTGTATTATTTATGAATTAACAATGTTATTGTATCTAGCTGTACCTGCGACTTCGCCCGCATAATATAGTGACCTTGACCAAATAATGGAAAAATATTTATTAACCAAACCCATTAAAAGCCAAATAAAAAAATATATCGTTTTAGCTTAAAAAATGACGAGACAGAATTCCATACAATTCAATAAAAAGCAAGCATCTAGCTTTGAAAATGACGACACTTCTATACAATCCTTCATCTCTCTTTGAACGCCTTACAACCCTTTTTCTTTATTTATATTCAATGAACAGCCAAAAAAAAACAAAATTCAGGCTTCTAGCTTTAAAAACGACGATACATCCATACAACCTTGCAGCTACCCTTTCATCCCCTTTTCATTAAAAAGTATATTAACCTATGTCAGACAGACAGAGTTACTTTCGCATTTATAATATTAGTAAGTAATAATGAAATATTGCCACATTGTAATTTTATACTTTTATATACTTAATATTAGGTAAAGCGCTTAGAATATACATATATATATATATCGGTGCTGACAAGATTCATTAATTGTCCCGTCACAAAATCTTTGTAAATAATAAATTTAATTATAATTATAATGTTTGTTATTATGTTTAGAGCACACACTAGCGCCCTCTACGAGGGCATAAGCAAAGTCTTCTTATACTCGAACACTGTTGAGGTGGTCATTTACCGCTGAGCCACTTAAAGAGTCATGTCTGCTTAGAAATAGTAATAGTTATTTAAAAGAGCAACACACAAGTTTCTTGCACATTTATCTTGTGATGAGTCTGCATTCCCAATGACTGGTAGAATAAAATCAATGTGACAATTCAAAAGTGCTTATATTAAGTTTATTTGAATAAAGATTATTTATATTTCTATTGTTTATTTAAAGGCTTTCATTTTGTTTAATTATAATAACCTACGAGTTAAATAATTGAGATAGCATGGACGATGAATAACGCAAGTAACGTCAGAGTAGCTGACGTCACTTTATCTATCCCCTCCGATTGATCCCCCGTCCAATGCAAACGGGGATCGAAATTACGACGGCCTGAGCCGAAGTTCGAACCCCTAGTACCCTCAGACTAAAGTCGTATCCTTCAGGCAGGAGTTGGCCGCGGGTTTGGAGTGCCATCTGCACTCGCCCCCTAACGACTGGTGAAGCTGTAAAGGCCAGCTGCGGCCAACAGCATTAGAGTAGTCCGAAAAAAAAACTAAAAACTACGTTACTTATCTGCTTCGACATATAATTTTATGAAATCATACCTAATTAGATTGGATTTTATATTAAGACTAGCTACCCACCCCGGCTTCGCACATGGGGTGTACATGTATTATACATATAAACCTTCCTCTTGAATCACTCTATCTATTAAAAAACCGCCAAAATCCGTTGTGTAGTTTTAAAGATTTATGCATACATAGGGACGAACAGACTGCGACAGTGACGTATTATACTATGTACTAGCTACTCGCCCAGGCTTTGCCCGGGTGTACATGTATTATATATATAAACCTTCCTCTTGAATCACTCTATGTATTAAAAAACCGCTTCAAAATCGTAGTTTTAAAGATTTCGACAATTCAAGGACTATAAAAAAAACTACATTGTAAATCAGGTACATTTCGACATATAATAAGACCTCCAATAGACCTACATGAATAATGATATTATGAATTTGAATTTGAATTTCGTCCCACGAACGCTCCAGAAGTCCTTCCGCCGGTTTGGAATGTCATCTGCACTCGACCCCTATCGTTTGGTGAAGCTGTAAAAGCCAGCTTGGACCAACAGCATTTTTTTAAGGGATTATTATGGATTGGTGCTTCCACCTGTGCTAACGGTTTACGCTGGCGGGGCACCAGTGGAGGATGATAAGATGAACATGAGGTCAGGTCAGTTAGCCCATCGTGACAAATTTACCAGGAATTTATCACGATGGTTTCCAGGAAGAACCGCGTGGAGGTCAACCTAACATGGTACATTGCTAGTAATGAAGTCATGAGTCCACATTACTAACAATCCCCTTCCCACCCGACCAACAGCATTATAGGAGTTAACAAAAATGCCTCATAAAGACAAGTATCAACACGTATAGAGATACATATAGATGTATTTTTTATTATTATTCGGTAACTGGACTACTAACAACAACGCACACGTGATACCTCTAGTGTTTCAGGCGTTCATAGGCTACGGTAACCATTTACCATCAGATAGGCCGTACGCTTGATTGGCACTATCGTAGTTAAAAAAATATAACATGTATATGGTTGTAATCAGTTATTAATAATAATACATATTATACCTAAATTGTGTGTTGTTTTTATTATTATTTGCTTATTTTATCATAACTATATGTATATGACTAATATAATATATCGATCGCATTGGACGATCCCGATGTTATAGCTGAATCTATCACTGATATAATACTCCAAGTCCTTCAAAAGAGTTATAGCCACAGCAAAAGTCGGAACACATCAGCAGAATTGGTGACAGACTGTACAGTCTTCCATCTGGATTCCGGGCTTTCTGGTCTCTTGCTAAAGCTGCTCAGGGAAATTTCTGTCAGCCATCTTCTCCACCACTGCACAGAGAGGATAACTGTTGGCCCAACATGCTAAAGAGAAGGCCGAACTCCTTGGTTCTCTTTTTGCATTTAACTCGACACTGGACGATAGGGAGCAGTCACCGCCGGTCAAGGCGAAGTCAAAGGCAACGGCGACCACTTACCATCAGGTGGGCCGTCAGTTTCCAAAATATAAACATACACAACAACATAACTGCCGTTTGTAGGTAATTTATGATGATTTAGTTTGTAATAAAATATTAAAACTATATATGATGTATTGTTTATTTTTACTACTTAGGTTTATGATTAATTAATAATAATAATATAATAATAATAATCTTTATTTACTGCTCACAAGGAAACTTACAATATTGCCAAAGTAACAAAAGTATGTATTTAATCTTACAAGCTATTATGTGAGAGTCGAGTCTGAACTAAGTCGAAACCTGTACTACAGATCTCCAGGCTCTCTCCGAGGACTTACTGGTATTTAATAAATCTAACAAATGTTTTTATGAGGTAAAGTTGTATAATGTGTCGCTAGTTGCGGTATATAATATAGTTAATGATATGTGTGTGTGTGTGTGAAATGACTGTGAGTGTGTGTAAGGAATATAGATACTACAGAAAATCTCTTGTCCATCAAACAAAATTAACAAATAAAAAAAATATATAAGATTAGGTTTATCTATCACCTCAGAACAGACAACAAACCTTCGGTATTAATATGTATATAGTAGATAATATATTGTCATATAGACAGTGTGTTGTTCTTTCAATTACCTAAAATTAATTACATTAATAATTACATAATTACATTAATACATACAATAAAAAAAAAACAGAAAAAATAATCCTAAAAGTTAATTGCTATGATTGTCCCGTATCGTACCTGCCTTAAAGGTTCCGTCATAACGCTCAAAATTTCCACGTTGAATTGCTAGGGATAATCCGTTTGCGCCAGATACAATCCGGAACGTCGATAAATTTGTTGTTAATTTATTAAAAATATATTATGTAGTATATTGTATGTATTTGACTTGTGAATTAATCTATATTATGTTATTATATGAGATATTATTGTACGGCGAAGCATTGTGTGCAATATTTTATTCTAATATATTAACAATAAGGGTGAGAGCATTATATGCCTTGTTACAGCCCAGGGGCTGTAACAAGGTTCAGACTCTTAAGAATCTAACATAATTGACTAACAAAGGAAATTTAATGAATATTAAAAAATAATATATTTCTTAATATTCATTACGTTAAAAATATTTTTTTTTTGATACTTTGATTATGATTTGATGGACTTCGTTATATACAATGAATTTGCCCCGACTCTTAGATGATAGAGTTACACCACTTCACGCAACTCTAGTGTAGGGACCTACTAGCGATGCCAGACGTCCCGTATTTTAGGCTTAGTTTAAAATGTCCCGGCGGGACTGTAATTTTCGTAGATAGTAGACCACGGGGTTTTTGTTCAATAACCCGAATTGTGCATTCCTGTATCAATCGGTTGGTTCATATAATACTTGTTCTTACTTGTTGAGTACAATTGAACGTCCAATGAGATAAACGAGATTATGCATGTTTGTTTTATTCTTGTTTGTGTGGGCTGTTTATGCAATCCTATAGAAACAACGTAATATTTATTTTATTTGCGATTTCGTGCGTAATAGATAAGCAGTAGGGGAAGCCCGAGCAGCGCGGATAAGTTAAGGAAAAGGAAAAAAATAACACAGAAATAATCAACTTAGGAACATAGTTTATTCTTATTTATGACGCATATAATCCTTGCAAATGTAACATGCAAAATTAACAAAATATAATATCTTCATATATGGTGACTGCAACGCCATCTACTTCTTAAGTACGCTAACGACAACAATTTTTTTGTATATTTGCCTATATAATTAAATAATAAATAATAAAAGATATAAATAATCGAGATTTAATATAATTAGAATTATAATATAAAATATATATTCTAGAAGGTTCATATAATCATGTTTATTTTCTTTGTATAATTTATAAGTTCTGATTTGACCTTTACTATAAAAATGGTGTGGTGTTCCAGTTCAGTTTAAAACGATCAAGTAGAATAATTACTTACTTATATAAAACAAATACAAAAGAAGTTACAGTTTAACGCGTTTAACTTGTTGCCGCCCCGTAACAATAAGTAATAATATTTTCTTGTCTTTAGTAGAAAGAGTTTTCTCAACAAAATATTGAAGCCAATTTAAAAATACTGGTTCATTTATGTAACCATTATTGCTTACTGTAGCTATTGAACCAGGTGGTGAAGCATCTAATAGTCTTTTCTGCATTCTCTTCCCAGCATAAATAAAAAATGGTGGTGTAAAAATACTGCCAGCGTTGCAGCAACAACGACCACGAAGTTCGATTTGTTTTACGTTTGTACTTAAATACCGTTCTAAAAAGAAATTTAAAAAAATGTGTCACTAAAATCACAGTCAAAGTGGATAACTTATCCTCTTTACCCGAAATGTGTATTTCTAAGCAAACCTACTTTTCTTAACATTACAATACAGGCTCAATATAATATTAATATTACAAATAATACTAAAAAACAATGCTTCTTTAGTTGCTAAAGTGCACTCATCGAGCTGAATTTTTCAAAAATGGTTACCAAGAATGTTGGCTACAAAACCCGATCCCGCAGTCGATTGTGGTCGATCGTTCAACGATTCTTGATAGCATTCCCATCGTCATATTTGTGTGAACGTAGATTTAGCGCTGTGTTAACACTGCTTACTAAAAAGAGAAATCGTTTGCATGTTACCGAACGTGGCGACTTGGAACTGTTCTTGAGTAAATTGGAACCTGATATTAACAAAATTATTTAACAGCATCAGATTCTGCCTTCACATTAGTTTTTATATAAGAATCGATCTCTATATAAGAATTTAGATTAGAGATTTTATATAAGAGATTTTATTAATTTTGAATAGATATACTATTCAAAATTAAATAAACATATTATTTCATTTTGAATAGAAGATACTCTGTTTGAATACTATAAACTTGCGTTTCAATAATCATTCTCATTGGTAGGTGTAGCCCGTAAAAATTAAGTTGATACCTGAGCGCCGTTGTGTATTACCTACTGTGCTCAGGTTTCAAGTTAACTCTTGTGAGTTATAGTAAAAGTCTCATTTAGAATTGTTTAATCTCCGCTAATATAGCTCACAATAATTGATTAATTTAATTTAAAGTAATAATGGTTTTTAAGTAAGTGAAAAAATGGGGGCGATAAAAAATAATTTATTCCCAAAGTGGGCCGTAGACAAAATAAGTTTGGGAACCCCTGGTTTAAGTATTATTTCACTATTTTCATGATTTTACATCGTACAATGTGGCTTATATGCCTGTATATTAATAATTGAGTTGCCATCACTGAAGACTAATGAACGAATCTATCTGTACCTGTATCTCTGCACTCCCTAAGGTTGGCTGGTAGAGAATGGTATTAGCAATAAACCCGCCTATTGTACAAAATTCAATAGTTTTAAATAAATAAACAAAAACGAATGAAAACAAACTTCGTATTGGTAAACGCGATCTTTATAATGCTATTGAATTCTATTTAAAGTACAACGAGATCAACGTCGATCTTTAAACTAGTTTATGGTGAACTCAGTTTCCTTGAATTTAGTTTATACTGTGAATGGTGAAATCCAGCCTAAGGTGTACTAAAGCTCTATAATGCCGAGGTCGTCATAACAGGGTTCAAACGTGTGTTAGTATGTGAATATAATGGAGCGTATGAGGGCGTCCCGGACGGAGTCGCTGCTTTGTCCGATGCCGAAGTTGAAGAACACCCCATCGGTCTCCACTTGCTGTGCACACGTGCCCGTGGGGTACCAGCCCACCTTGTTGAACACTATCCCCACTTTGTACACCTGTAACGTAACAAATTGTTATATTATAACAATAACAACCCTGTACAATTCACACAGCGCCATCTAGTCCTAAGTTAAGCAGAGCTTGCATTATTGATACTAGACCACTAAGGAGATATTTTTTATCAACATCTTTGGTACAGACTCAACCCATTGGCTTGTAGAGACATTGCATCTTTGTGCATTTTTTACCAGTTATATCATGGAGTGATCTGAGGAATTGTACGGTTTATTATCTTTTGCTAAATTTCATCATCGCACTACCCGCCAGAAATAAAAATACCATCCCGATCATCTGGATGACTGGCGGTCCTCTACCGTGCATTTTTCTAGATAGATAAATGCATTGTTCATAATTTACAAACACATAGTACACTTGAGATACAGAAATATAAATTGTACAAATTATTTTGTAAACATGTACAAGCAGACTTGAAAAGAATAAGGGCTGAGTTTCTTTTCAGTTCTTCTCTTCTTGATAGACAAGAGTAGACAAGGTACTGGTAGAACATGTTCCTTTAGATCATAAACACGTTTTTAAACATCTTTATAGTTGATTAAATAATAGTTTGTGCTAAATATCTTGTTTATATAATGTGTACAATTGTATATTAATGGAATATTCTAATACAAGTAATAATAGTACCCCTAATCTAATAAAGTAAATATAATAAGAATAAGGAAATTTATCTTAAAATACATACCTTCTTTATTCATCTTGCTTTTCTCAGCGGTCTCAGATGAGTCACTGGGCACAGGTGTATCACTGGACTTGCATGGCTCGGGGACTGCCTCTGTACTGTTTTCAGCACTACTCTCAACATTCACTACCTATAAATACTCATCTTGTGTATTCATATGAAAAAAAACACAATGTATTAATAGATTTTAAATTAAATAGTTACTACTGAGTTTTTTGCCTATACTTCTTAGTGAAAATTCTTCTAGCACTGACAATAATTACATATGCCTTTGAATACTGTACCGCTGCTTCAAATTTGGCCAGTGACTGTCAACATTGAGATGGTCCAAAGAGAACACTGTAACAACGATATTCAGGTCCACCTCCTCTAAACAGCTATCTTTAAGTACCTCTTATGTGTTGGTGCTGATTATCTGGAAATAGCAGAGGTACCAGTTTTACAATGGAATGTTTCATAATAATGGAATGGTGCACTGGCCTGTGCTACTGTTTATGCAGGCAGGGCTCCACTGACTGTGATGAGCATGAAGTTCAGTTGACCTATCCTGACAAATACACCAGAAATTTATCATAATGATTTCAGGGAGAACCAGTAAAATAAGTAGAAAAAGTGCTGACAAGAAATTTTATAAAATTAGGAAATAATTTTATTTAATATTTTGTTGAAGTTTTTTGAAACTAACACCTGCATCTTTAACCTGGGAACAGTCTACACTGTCTCTTGGGCTATTACAGTTTTTCATATCCGGCTTGAAGGACCATAAGTGTAGCCCTACTGTGATCTTCAATGATAGCATTGTATTGTTACAAAATATATTAAATTCTTCAAATATTTCAAATTGAGAGCCGCAGTGAATGTAAAGAGTAGCCGCCGACCTGGCTGTGACCGCGATGAGCTCAACGCACCTGCATCTACGAGACCCGGAAATAGATATAATCTTTAATCTTTATTCATATAAACTTGGTAATCCATTTTTGTTATTCTACCACTTAATGGGAACGCAAGAATGAGATGAGGGAACGCAAGACAGTACAAGAATGAGAAGGAAAGTGGCATATTATTGTTTTACAGTTAAAGCAATGGCTGCTGATTGTAATCGTGTTAACTGTATCTACAATTTGTAATCTATTTTAAATGACTAACAGGTTCCAAAACTTACTCTAAAAGGGCTTTAAAAGCATCTGGTTGCACATCTAAAATGGGTATAGGATCATTTCTTTCCGCCATTCCACAACATTAACATTGTTTCGAAGACAGATGATGCCATGGCTAGGATGAATTAGTGCCCACCAAGGTGCAATCAGAACACTGGCCTGTCTCGAGAATATTAGCACCTCGCTGTTTCATCTCGACATATCCTAACTGCCAATCGTTAGGCACTCCTGCCATTCTCTCTAAAGAATTTACTCTCGGAGAATTATTCCAATAGATGTGCTTAAATTATATAATTATTGAAATTAATATTACCAAATATAAACAATAACAATGCAAATAGATCATTGTAATTCATGTCAACATGACGTGTGTAATGGTAAGCAAGGTGTGTGTCAATTAATGGTCAGTATTAAGCAGCCCAGAAACTGTCAAACGATAAATACATCAGTCAGAGTCATGTAAATAATGACAATATAACATCTGTGTGTAACGAAGGAAGTCAAATTATATTAAACCTAATTTAATTAATTCATTAATTAGAAATCTTGTCATGAAAAATGAATTACGAAGAAACAAAAGCAGTGGTCCAGGAGAAATTTCTTTCAAGTGAACTGGTTACAGCATTCCTTTGCGATGCGAAAATACTCCATCCCGAATGGGTGAAGAAGGATAGGTTGCTGTGCATTGTAGAATATGGAGACGAGAAAGCCGTGTTTTGTTTATTCACGTCTAGTTACCCGCCTAAATCCTTCACCGATTTATCTATAGAAATAGTGCTGCCCATCGACATCAACTTTAAATGTGAGATTGATAACAAACCATCAGACCCTGAGGCAGTCCTTTACCTGAATTTGCAGTCAAATAGTAATAAATATAAGTTCGAAATTCAAATGACCCCGCGCGTCGACAACTTTGTGGATGATCTCTTCAGAGGGATAGAAGCCGTAAGTAAAATGCCAACGCAACCTGAGTTTGTATGGCTAAAAAAGTATCAAGGTAAGAATGAAGACGACATTATTTCCCAATTGTCAGTTGTACCTAGAAGCGGAGCCACACATTCACAGAGCTCCGCTCCTGTAGCTATCAGGGAGAGTCTAATTAAACGAAAAATGTATGATAAGGAACTTGAATACACATATACTAAGACATTCACTGTGTTCTGTGGCACTTGGAATGTCAATGACAAATCACCAGTGTTATCTCTGGAAGGGTGGCTCAATGTGGATGAAGAACCACCTGATATATATGCAGTGGGTTTTCAGGAACTTGATTTATCCAAGGAGACATTCATCTTTGATCAAACTGTTAGAGAAGAGGAATGGTCAAATGCTGTTGTACGTTACTTGAATATACGAGCTAAATATGTCATATTGGAGAAAGTTAGACTAATTGGTATGTTGCTGATGGTTCTGATCAAACAGAAACATAAAGCCCATGTACATAATGTGGTTTTCGACACAGTGGGAACAGGAATAATGGGCAAAATGGGAAACAAAGGTGGTGTGTCCATACGATTTGACCTTCATAACACATCTATATGCATTGTAAACTCTCACCTGGCTGCCCATGTAGAAGAGTATGAAAGACGAAGTCAGGACTTCAGGGATATCTGCAATAGAACAAGATTTCAACAACTGAATCAACAGGCCAAAGCCATAAAAGACCATGACCAAATATACTGGATAGGTGATTTAAACTATCGCATTACTGAGATGGATCCAAACACTGTAAAGCAACTTATTAATGAAAATAATTTTGAGGCAGTCTTAAAATATGACCAACTAAAACAGCAACATAAGAACAATAGTGTGTTTGCTGGCTATACAGAGGGTCCAATTACTTTTAAACCTACATACAAATATGACCCTGGCACTGACAATTGGGATTCAAGTGAGAAAAATCGTGCCCCAGCATGGTGTGATAGGATATTTTGGAAAGGAGACGGTATTACACAGAAAGCATATAGAAGCCATCCTAGTTTGAATATAAGTGACCACAAGCCAGTATCTGCTATCTTCAACTCAATTATTAAGGTAATAGATGAGGAAAAATATAGAAAAGTATATGAAGATGTAATAAAACAACTTGACAAACTTGAAAATGAACTCATACCACAAGTTAAAGTTGATATGAATGAAATAGATTTTGGTACTGTAAAGTACCTTGAATTGCAAATGAAGACCATCATAATAAAGAATACTGGAAAATTACCTGTGGAATTTGAATTTATTAAGAAATTAGATGAAGCAAGTTTCTGCAAAGAATGGCTCATTGTTGAGCCTTATAAGAGGTGTATTTGTGCTGACGAGTCATGTGAAATAATATTTAAAGTACATATCAATAAGATTTCTGCTTGCAAACTCAATGCAGGAACTGATGAATTGTATGATATTTTAGTTTTGCATTTATATGGAGGGAAGGATATCTTCATAACTGTGACTGGAACATATGAGAGGAGCTGTTTCGGGTGCTCAATAGAGGTTTTAGTCAACCTCAATATGCCTATAAAGGAGGTGCCTATTAAGCAACTAGTTGAATTAGAAAGCAAAAGGCACCAACCTGTATCAAGCCAATCCACATATTCAATACCCAAGGAGGTGTGGTTCTTAGTTGACCATATATATTTACATGGACTTAAACAGCCCAACTTATTTGAACAACCTGGTCTGCATTCTGAAATTCTACAAATTAGAGACTGGCTAGATTCGGGCTCGATGGATCCTATTCCAGGATGTATACATTCAGTTGCAGAGGCTCTCCTGCTGCTTTTAGAAAGTACTGCAGATCCTATTATACCATACAATCTTCAGTCGGTGTGCTTGAGGGCATCTGCAAATTATTTACAATGCAGACAAATTGTCTCACACTTGCCCGAATTCAGAAAAAATGTGTTCTTATACTTGTGTGAATTTTTACAAGAAGCATTGCAGCACAGTGCCGAAAATGGATTAGATGCTAACACTTTATCTTCACTTTTCGGAGCAATATTCCTTCGGGATAATCCAAATCAAACGCAAGAGCCCCAGTCTCGAATTAACAAACAGGTGATAGAAAAGAAGAAAGCCCAGTTTGTACATCACTTCTTAGTTAATGATCACAGTGAATTAATTTTTACTAGATAATTTATCAGTTTTTCAATAATTTAATATTTTAATTTATTAATCCAAATACTCACTACTTTTCTATTAGTATTAACATTTACCATTTCTTTGTTGTAATTGCTGTGGTCACATGAATGTGTAGCAATTTGTCTAGTTTGTACATAAACTGAGTCTCAATTGCATTATTTATGAATTAACAGTGTTATTGCACTTAGTAATGAAAAGATAACATGATATGATTAAATAGTGTGCCCCATTGTAATTTGAAACATTAATAATTGAAAATATTACTTTTATACCTATATTAGGTAAAGCACTTAGAATATATACATAATATTATTAAATTACACACGTTATGTGTATAATGTAGACACATATGTGTTACTTTACCTGTAGAAACACATGTAAAGTAACACATATGTGTCTACATTAATAGAGAAATGACATAATATTTAGCTTCATATAGTAATCGCACCAGGATCTGTATTTATATAATATGCCAAATCCAATTTGCCATAAAACAACCACAGTTATGCATTAAGCAGAGTGTATGTGTATGTATTTTAGCTGTGTATAGCATTTTTGTATACCTACTCTAGGTACGACCATATACTGGTACAAAAATCTTGAACATTAAGGTTTAGTTTTAATTTTACATGTTATATGAGGATGGGAATATGTCGTAATTGGCTCGTATGTTGTACGAAACTTGACTAGTAACTTAAAATAGATTGTGCTTCCTCGCGTATTTCCGCAGATTGTTTTAAAAAAATCATAGGTCAATGTTAACTTGAAACGCATTTATCAGAATCTCGTCAACTATATATTCATTAACTAGCTGTGCATTACAAGGAAGGCGTAGCCTTTCTGAGATCTGCCATGTATTGATGATAGTAAAAGTAAAAATAAATCATCAGTAAAACAATAATTGAAACATCCATATGGCACCATCTTATATTTATAAATTGGTTGGCGTATTGAGAAATATTTGTAAAAATATTTATTTCAGCCCTTTTGATGTATTTTGCTCAGCTTTCAATCGCCTGTGTATAAACTACGTTGCTTTATTACTTAATAAAAAAAAATGTATTTATACGAATATAGCTTGATAGTCAGACATACAGAAAATAAGACAAGAGCATTTGGCGTTACATTCTTTATGCCTACCTAAATTGAAAACAAGCTGTTCAAGCTCGCCCAAGATCCCCCGTCCAATTCAAACGGGGATCGAAATTACGATGGCCTGAGCCGAGGTTCAAACCCCTATCGGTTCCCTCAGACTAAAGTCATATCCGTCACGCAGGAGTAGGCCTTCGCCCGCTCCAGAAGTCCTTCGGGTTTAGATTGTCATCTGCACTCGTCCCCTATCATTCGGTGAAGCTGTAAAGGCCAATTTCGGCCAACAGTATTAGAGGAGTTAAAAAAGCTTTATAAAGACAAAAATCAACACCTATAGAGACACTAGGACGTTGTAGTACTTAATTTGTATTTTTTATTATTATTAGGTAACTGGACTACTAACATTATTTACGACTAACGGTATGTTCACATTTTAGTCATATATATTTAGACTATACAAACACATATAGGAAAATATGGTTGTAATCAGTTATTAATAATAATACCTGTACCTAAATGTTGTGTGTTAGTTTTTATATTTAGTTGTTTATTGAATATTTTCCCATAACTAATATATGTATATAAGAATGTATAAAATTAGTGTAGCCAGAGTAGGCACTTTTATATATAGTAAAGACAGAAATATAATATATTTTCGTGAATAAATTTTAAAAAATGTATCGAATAATAATTTACCATAATTGTATGCCGAGTACCTATAAAATAAAAAACTTTTTTAGGTATAGATACAAATAATAATTTCATTTATTTTCCGAACAGTGTCTGCAGAAATAAGTGAGAGATTAAAAAGAAACATTCCAATTATCTTGTTTACAAATATCTGAGACAAAAATACTTTGCGTAACAATTTCATTTACTAGCATAATAACAATTATTTTAATATAAATTGCCAAATTTATCTTCCTACAACTGCTGTAGTATTTTGAAATAGGAGCAATAAACCACTACCTCACGCGCTCTCGAATATTTTTTTTTTATATGTTACTATTTATAAATAATAATACCATCAAACACTATTTCATCATATTAATATAATTTTAGTTTTAATAAGGGCACCTATTTCAAGTCAAGCAAATTAATTTGTTACAATTGTCAAAGACAATGAAATAACTAGGTTTGGAGTACAGATGCATGATATCATAGTCCCCCAGAATGACAATCCAAGGGTGATCGGTATCATGAGATTCATATGATAACGTGATATCCGAGGGTACATTTAGGTATAGAGGCTAAGGCGACTATACCCCTCCGATCGATCCCCCGTCCAATTCAAACGGGGATCGGAATTACGATGGCCTAAGTCGTGGTTCGAACTCATAGCGGTGCCCTCAGAATAAAGTCGTTTCCGTCGGGCTGGAGTTGGCCTTCAGCCGCTCCATAGTCCTTCCGCGGGTTTGGAGTGCCATCTGCACTCGCCCCCTATCGTCGGGTGAAGCTGTAAAGGCTAGCTGCGGCCAACAGCATTAGAGTAGTCCGAAACAAAAATTGGCATCAGGTGGGTCGTCAGTTTCTAAAATATAGACAAAATGTATATCCTGCCGTTTGTAAGTACTTTATGATGTTTAAGAATGTAATAACATACTAAAACGCTATGCAAAATATGTATTGTTTATTTTTTCTACTTATATGATTAAATATATGTATGTAGTAGGTATATTTTGTCATATAGACAATTTGTTGTTAATTTATTAAAAATGTATAAGTATTTGACTTGTGAATTATTCTATAGTTGTTATTAGATGTTTATGTTACCTATGTTTCACACGCTTGAAATTTATAGCCTATATGTTATTCTAATGTATAAGCTATAATACTGTAAAGTTTCATCAAAATCCATTCAGTAGTTTTTGCGTGAAAAAATAACAACCATCTATCCATACTTACACACTTTCGCATTTATAAAATTAATTAATAATAATAAGATAAGATAATGCGTGCTTCTAATGACGTAACAATATGGTGGCAGATTGTAACGTCATTTCACGGGCGATAGCACTAGCCAGTGGCCACCATGTCATAGGGGCCCTGGTGCGTAGGGACATCTGGTCAAGAGACTTAGCAATAACTAAATAACATTACATAATTTACGAAAAAAAATATTAAAACATCTTGTATACTATGCTGTATAATTGATATAGATTTTTAACTATCCCATGGAAACTCTTTAATTTTCCGTGATTAAAATATGTAAAATCTTCATCGGGGATGCTAAATTTCATTGACACAACAGTTTCGGAGAGCCGGTACAAACAGACAGAAACAAAAAATAACTGACTCGGTTTATGGCGTTTCGTTTCTATGTACAGATACCTATTCGACCTCTACAGTTTTATTGTATGTATGAATTTGTTAAAGGAACTGACTATCAGATGATAGTTACGCCACTACGCCACAGATAACATAATATGACTGCACGTAACTCTAATATAGGTACCTACATTAGAGTGAAGTACAACACTTTGTTCGGGTAACGCAATGCATCAAGAAACAGGCTAAGGTCACTGACCATATTTCCTCTAATTCTAGTAATTACAATAATGGAATGATTTACCTTGGCCTAGACATTTTTATAATATTTATGTAGTATTTAGATGTCAACTAATACAATATTCTTAAGTTTTTTTAATCGTTTGTTATAAGATATGGCAAAGTCATAACAATTTACCAATTTACCTATTTACTAATGGGTGAAAATGGAACGGTGCGTTCTAATGGATTACTCTGGTGACGCATCTTTGGAGGATGATAAGACGAAGGTAGGCCAGTCATCCCAACGAGCCTTTCGAAGAGGAATGTTGATTTAACGTGGTTCATTTCTAACAATAAGGCTACTAGTTCCTAGCGTAACTAATAATTCCTTTCTCTCTCATTTCTCCCAACCCTGAGCATTAAAGTGTTTAAGTAAAGCTACTAGAATTGTATAAACAGGGCATAGATAATAATAGTACAAAATGTATACAGCTCTCTTAATGGTAATCGGTTAGTAAAATACCCGATTAAAAAATGAGAACACTTACGAGGAATAATAGAGATTTTAGCATTCGTTGTGCGATTTTTATTTTATGTTCATTCACAATCAGCAAAACAGTGCGAATTAACTATTTGCTAAGATTTTTCTCAATAGACTACAGCATGGGCTTTCTCAAAAAGGGTAACCGATCCAACTGTATCCATAATCTATCTTTAAAATTCCCGGATTTTGATAAGTTGTCCTCACTTCTCGCTAGATGTCTCTGGTACATGTTTTTTTTTTAAAGTTCGACCACAATAATAGCTATTTTAATTCTTCTATAATTTTATTACTTGAGAAAGTTTTGATATCTCATCCAAAAATGAGCATTCTAAATATTATTTATATTAAACATATTACTGAGTTAGTAAAGTGGAGGAATGAATTTGTATTTCTGAACGCAAGCGACTCTAATCTCTATAGATCACGGGTCGATTGTAATCGAACAAAAGAGCGGTAATTACGAATTCAACCAATCATGAAGCCGCATTTGATTCTTTGTCAAACCATTTGTTCAGAACGTCTGTCAGAAAACAAATCTTATTTACTTCATTTCCTGTCTTTCTTCAGACGGTTTGATTATTTGAAATAACTGTTTCAACGTTGAAATTTGTTGAGAGAACTTAAAAAGTGACTGCGTCGCTTGAATCATTTAAATTTGTCCAGTCTACTGTGTGCAGCAGACGTCCTAAGCAAACAAAATAAAACTTTGTTCCAAGTTCTTTGTGTAGTGCATCTGCATCCTATTTGAACATCAACGGTGTATACAGTCATGGAAGTCGCAACAAAATGTAAGTACATTATTATTACATTTTAATTAGTTTATTAGATATTTCCAATCTTTTCATTTATTTATTGCAAAATTAATTAAATCGCAGTTGAATGAACAAGCACGACATCGTAAATTTAAAAGCGCAACTCATTTTATTCTAGCCAAAAATTTTACCGCTAATTAGCAAACTAAATATTATTTCAGTATACGTTATAAAAAACAACAAATTTATTAATATTTCAATTCTTATCTATATTAAAAAAATAAAATGAGAATTTCTTTACATATATTTAGTGTATATGTATATGTATGGTAAGAAATGATAATAGTTCTCCAGGTCGATTTAAATATTACTATTTTCAAGACTTGTGGCTTGCTCTAATATGCATGCATAAAATATTCATTATTTATATATTTATTATTCACCATATAAAACATACCAATAAAAATTTGTTTTATAGTGTTTAAAAATAAATAGAATGCAATATAATATAATATAATAAAAAATATATAAATATTTTATATTAAAATTTAATCAACCCAAATTTATCCTTATTTACCTTTTCAATTACTTAGTACATTACATTTGTATCTACTCATCTTCTATATGCACAATTTTTCTATGTTCAACTAACTTAATGCCAACAGTGTTGTGACCGTGAAACCAATTATTATTGTTATTATTTTATATGTAGATTAGTCTGTAATATATATAATATATAGACTATAAGAAAATTTATACATACTGGCCTAAATGAGAGTCTAAATGTGGAAACAGTCCAATGGACTATAAAAATGCTCAGAGTAAATAAAATAAAAGCAAACTATGGTTTCAGAAATAGGGTAGATAGAAGTACACACAGGCCACTAAAGTTTCCCTCTGGTGGAAATAATTTATCTTCAAATATCACAGATTGTCATAAATATCCCTTTGAAATAAATAGTACTCACATAGGCCACTAATGTTTCCCTTTGGTGGAAATAATTTATCTTCAAATATCACAGATTGTCATAAATATCCCTTTGAAATAAATAGTACTCACATAGGCCACTAATGTTTCCCTTTGGTGGAAATAATTTATTTTTAAATATCACAGATTGTCATAAGTATCCCTTTGAAATAAATAGTACTCACATAGGCCACTAATGTTTCCCTCTGGTGGAAATAATTTATCTTCAAATATCACAGATTGTCATAAATATCCCTTTGAAATAAATAGTACTCACATAGGCCACTAATGTTTCCCTTTGGTGGAAATAATTTATTTTTAAATATCACAGATTGTCATAAGTATCCCTTTGAAATAAATAGTACTCACATAGGCCACTAATGTTTCCCTTTGGTGGAAATAATTTATCTTCAAATATCACAGATTGTCATAAATATCCCTTTGAAATAAATAGTACTCACATAGGCCACTAATGTTTCCCTTTGGTGGAAATAATTTATCTTCAAATATCACAGATTGTCATAAATATCCCTTTGAAATAAATAGTACTCACATAGGCCACTAATGTTTCCCTTTGGTGGAAATAATTTATTTTTAAATATCACAGATTGTCATAAGTATCCCTTTGAAATAAATAGTACTCACATAGGCCACTAATGTTTCCCTCTGGTGGAAATAATTTATCTTCAAATATCACAGATTGTCATAAATATCCCTTTGAAATAAATAGTACTCACATAGGCCACTAATGTTTCCCTTTGGTGGAAATAATTTATTTTTAAATATCACAGATTGTCATAAGTATCCCTTTGAAATAAATAGTACTCACATAGGCCACTAATGTTTCCCTTTGGTGGAAATAATTTATCTTCAAATATCACAGATTGTCATAAATATCCCTTTGAAATAAATAGTACTCACATAGGCCACTAATGTTTCCCTTTGGTGGAAATAATTTATCTTCAAATATCACAGATTGTCATAAATATCCCTTTGAAATAAATAGTACTCACATAGGCCACTAATGTTTCCCTTTGGTGGAAATAATTTATTTTTAAATATCACATATTGTCATAAGTATCCCTTTGAAATAAATAGTACTCACACAGGCCACTAAAGTTTCCCTTTAAATAATTTATTTTTAATAATTTAAATTTATGTCAAATATCACAGACTGTCATAAATATCCGTTAGAAATTAATATTTATTCTGAGCATTTAAAACTATACTGTCTCTGTGATATTATTTGTATAACCAGTTAAAAAAGTTACCCCTAAAAAAAGGTAAGTTGTTATTTTATTAATTCAGCCGTCTATCTTGTGAATATTATAATATAATATAAATGAGAAAGTTTGTAAGTATGAATGTTTATTACTCTTTCATGCAAAAGACTACTGAACGAATTTTCATGAAACTTTACAGTAACATAGTTTATGCATTGAATAATAATAATCGGATATAATGACATCTTTCTTAACTATTCTCTATCTACCCTCATTTAGTATCCCCATTTTAATCACCCCTTTACAGTACAAAAGTCACAAAGAAAAATATTTTTGATACCATTTTTTTGTCCTGTATAGTACAGTTATTTTTAATATATAATTTAATTTACAGTTTTGGTGTTAGAAAT